GGCGTCTACATTGTGATGACCCAACAAGGCTCTATGCGGTAAACCCTTAAAGGAATTTTTCTTTCGGGGACTTTTTAATAAAAATTCCTTCTGTATTATTATTACTATGGTATATTATCATGATGGGTAAAAAATATAAAATCTATATATCATATTTTTACAGTTTTATTTTGACCACTTTAAAGACCAAATATTTAATTGCCGTGTCAAGTTTAAAAGAAAAGTGTCAATGCTGTCGAGTAATTATGTATTTTTGAATTCAATCATGGCCTCTTTTTGATCTTTATCTAGAAAACTTTAATGGAAACCTAACCGTCCATATCTGTAAAAGCTTACAATTTTAGGAAGATTTGTAGCCGTGGAATTTCTAAAAATAACTTTTTTTCGTACAGTAAAGTAGCATAATGGCAACATATTCTTAATGCCCTGAGGAAAGGATATCGCCAAAAGTTTTTTAACGATAAGGTTTAACGGGTACTTCTACAGAATGTACTACAATTTTGAACCTGTTTCTTTAAACTCTGGATATATTATGGTTTTGAACTTGTTCCTTTAAACTCTGAATAAATTAAGGTTTAAAACCTGTTCCTTTAAACTATGAATATATTTAGGTTTTGAACCTGTTCCTTTAAACTATGAATATATTTAGGTTTTGAACCTGTTCCCTTAAACTATGAATATATTTAGGTTTTGAACCTGTTCCTTTACACTATGAATATATTTAGGTTTTAAACCCATTCCTTTAAACTATGAATATATTTAGGTTTTAAACCTGTTCCTTGCTCTCCTTCTTTCCAGTTTCGGAGCTTCCAACTTGTCTGCTGCTGACTCCGGAGATGATGGAACCAACAAACTTACTGAAGCTATTAATAGGCAAGAAGAATTAGATTTTACAAGAGTTCCAATCCCGTCTCATTTGGGGGTTCAAGAGGCTCTGAGCTTTTTCATAAAAATCAAAATTGTTTGTTAGTTATGCCGAATAATATTAACCGAAAAGGTTTTTTTCTGATTTTTTCTTTTTATTGATCTTCAGTTAGAGTAAATTAAATACGGTTAATTGAGTTCTTGCCACAAACTCAAATTTTCTAATGTCCTAAAAAGCTAATGGTCTGAACCTTTGATTTTTTAAACATTGACTATTAAATCTAACAAAATTCATGATTTGAAATATCAGAAGTCTACGTCATTTGATTGCAAAGATAAAGAGAATAAAAAAAATATTAATTGTTAAAAACATTTCCCGCTTTTTTGCTTGTACAATGAACATTGAACATTGTTCAATCACAAACATCGATGATTTTTCTGTTTTTTTAGAATCAGTCGATTGAAGAGGTTTATCAAGAGAAAGTTGATCGGGGTAACTATGTTTGTAAAGAACAGGGTTGTGGCGTGCTTCAGTAGAAGAATTCAATTTGAGAGAGGTTAGACATTGATACATTCTCTTTTGAATTTTTAAGATATATCTAAAAACATAAAAAATACTTTTTCATAATCGTGCATTTCAATGAAATGACATGTTAATAAATATCAAACATTGAGAGACATAAATAAATTGGGGACCCAGCTTTTATTTTATAATTTTAGTATTTTTCTAGAAAATATTCTTATCGTCTTTCTATCCTTACTCCTCCTTTACTGTTCTCTGCTGTCATTTCTTGCTCAATCCCGTCCTGTCAAATCCTGTCCTATCTTGTCCTGTTCTGTCCTTCCTGTCCTGTCCTTTCATGTCCTATCTTGTCATGTCCTTCCTCTACTGCCCTTCATATCCTCTTTTGTTATGTTTTGTCCTGTTCCGTTCTATCCTATCCTGGCATGTCCGATACTATACATTCCTGTTTTATTCTACTATACATTCCTGTTTTATTCTACTATACATTCCTGTTTTTGCCTTTCCTATCCTGTTCTGTCATATTCTGTCATATTCTGCTTTTGCCTGTCCTATTCTGTCCTATCCTGTCCCGTCCTGTCCTGATCTATCCTGTCCCAGCATGCTTAGCATATTGCAAATGAAAAGTAGATTGTCTGCATGGAAAGAGGAATTTTTTTTTATTTGTTGATTTCTTCTATTTGTTCAATGTAGACAAAAAGAATTCAAAGGATTAGGACAAATAAAAAAATTTAAAAATTATCCAAAAACATGGTTTTAAAATTCTAAAATTATTTTAATAAGAAAACTCTGGTTCCGCCCAGTTTGTCAAAATTGTATATGCACAAATATTTTGTGAAAAAAATCTAAAATTTTCAAATATTTAAGTTACCCCTTATCTCTCTTTACAGTATAAATGTTCAACATAATTTGAAAGTGACGTAGTATATTAAATATTAATATATATTTTGAGAGCTCGATTTAGGAACCTTGGTTTTATTCTCTTATTATCATTATTAAATAATTATTATTGTTTTATTATTTTAATCTATCTCACACATTTTAGAATATATATAGTGGCGTCTTTATCTCCCCCCCCCCTACTAAAAAAACGAAACTGAGGTTCGGGAACCCGTTTTAATAAGGGCAAACTCAGTTTAGGCTATCTTTAAAATCTTTTATTTCTAGTGTACTGCATGTATGTATAGTGCAGTCTAGTTATGTACCGTACTTAAATTGTACATCATTATAGAATATATCAATGAGATTAAAAGTAGGAAGAGTTGGAAAGGTTTTGTTCGCATTTTACAAGACCCTGGAACATCTGACCCTTTTGTTGACAATAAATATTATTGTTTTGTGTTTATGATAAAACTTTAGATCCTGGCTGTCATTTGTTCGCATCTTCTTACTTTTAATCTAATTAATATATTTTTATAATAATAATAATAATTATATTTTTGTTAATCATATTTATTGAAAATCTGTTTCAAGTTTATTTTCATTTAATTCTATCTTAATGAATGTATTTATGAAATAAAAAGCGAATTTATTTAAATTCTTTAAATCTACTGTTTACAAAATATAAAACATTTACCATGTGTACATTGTACGCCCCCCTCTCTCCCACTGAAAATTGAAATAGTTATCATAAAGTCATAATTTTATATTTCTTCCATTATCCATAATGAGGATTTTTGTTTACTGAACTAAATTGAATCATCGACCATGTTAAAACTCAAGTTGATTCGAATATGAAATGAAAAAGACTGCTCTTGATATTTTTAGACATACGATAGTTTTTTTACTTGATACTTTTATTACATTTGCAAATTTGAAGCGGTTAAAAGACTTTAGAAGTAAGTTGTATTTGAAAGTATCTTGCAAAGTCTGTAATTTCTACTTAGCTAAAAGTCAATATTGCCGCGTATCAAATTTCTCAAGACTAAGAGCAGCCTCTTTAATAATATTTAGATATTTTTAAAGGGAGTGTTCGCGAACATTAAAGGGGGTATAGGCTTATTACGAAAAATATTCAATGGTGATTTCTACTAATCTTACTTCTATCTGTTGCGTCTATATGGAGAAAATTGTTAAAAATGACTCATACCAAAGAACGTAGCAATCATACAAATTCAGAAAGTTGCAATATCCAACTTGGATCGTAAAAAGATAAATTTTCACCTTTTAGACACAACAGATAGGAGTAAGATTAGTAGAAATCATCATTGAATATTTTTCTACGTAAGCCTATACCCCCCTTAATTTTTCGCGAACACTCCCTTTAATAAAATGAAATACTGATATTAGAGTTGAGTTTGAATAGTTTATCTAGATTGTGTTGTTTTGCATGAAAGTAGTTTATATGTAGTTGCTGGGCCCCCGGTTCATCCTTCTCATCCACCCTCTCATCCTCCTCGTCATCCACCCCCTCATCTACCACATCCTCCACAACCCCCAGACCAACAAGACCTTGTTACAGACCGACTCCTCGCTAGCTTAGACCGAGAGGAGACCAAGTTTGATGTTCAAATTGGTGACGGGATGGATATTGATATTGCAGGAGAAAACGGTAGGTTTTTAATGACAATTCGTTTTGTTTAAATTGAAAGCATTAAAACCATACTTAGAAATAGATACATCTAATAACCCCTCTTACTTTAACAAATTTGAATTGATAGTTAAAACCCATTTGAAACGGTCCCAAGACCCAAACCTTTTTTGTCGCAGAATAATACAACTTATTTTAATCACCTCAGAGGAATTTCTTTAAAAATGTATAAAATATAGACCTTACTTACTCAAGCGGTGAGATTTGAACAAGATGGTATATGTTTATAAATTTGAACATGGTTGTATGTGTATAAATTTTGAACATGGTTGTATGTGTATAAATTTTAACATGGTTGTATGTGTATAAATTTTAACATGGTTGTATGTTTATAAATTTTAACATGGTTGTTTGTGTATAAATTTTAACATGGTTGTATGTGTATAAATTTTAACATGGTTGTATGTATGTGTATAAATTTTAACATGGTTGTATGTGTATAAATTTTGAACATGGTTGTATGTGTATAAATTTTAACATGGTTGTATGTGTATAAATTTGAACATGGTTGTATGTGTATAAATTTTAACATGGTTGTCTGTGTATAAATTTGAACATGGTTGTATGTGTATAAATTTTAACATGGTTGTATGTGTATAAATTTTAACATGATTGTATGTGTATAAATTTTAACATGGTTGTATGTGCATAAATTTTAACATGGTTGTATGCAAGGAACTATATACAGGAACGCCCAACTCAGATATACGCAAATTGTGTACTTTACTCTGTGGGAGGAATGTAAACAAACCTAGTGCCCCCACATAAGTTGAAGGGAAAGGACTAAAGCCCTGATGTGATATTACAGTCCAACAAAAAACAAGTTAATATATCAAGTGTTAGAGCGTATACTTATGATTTTTGGCTTTCTAGTCAATATGGAAAATACAATAGCAATATATTCTTATTCCACCCCTTGGGCCTTTTTCCCTCGAAAATGATACGTTGCCAATGAATTCTTTGTTTTGATCTCCTCCCACTGCAGTACACAGAATTGACGCATCAGATATGGCGGTTCCTGGTCTATATATTTCTTGGTTGTATGTGTATAAATTATCTAAGTTTCTAAGATTATGCAACGTATTGAATTAATATCAGATTAAGATTTGTAAAGAATTTTCAACCTTTGATTTCAGGATTCATATTCTCTTTTGTTTCCAGAAACTTGGAGTAGGGGAAGGGTGATGGGGGGCAGGGAGTAGAGAGGGGGGGGGATGATATGCATTTTTAATAAGCTTTTCAACCCATGATGCAAATCTTGATTCAAATCTATGAAGTACGCCAGACAGAAAGGGATTATTTGATATCCTCTTAAATACACCTCAGAAAGATATAAGAATTGACGGGTTTGGCTTAAATGTTTCTCTTTTATAATTAATTTAAAAGTTTAAATTCAAATATAAAAGTTTGAATATTGTTCTACAACTCGCCAGCTGAACATCTTGGAATATATAAATCATATTTTTAGGAGATATCAATTCCAGCCTTTCCTTAGCTCTCACCCACTTCCAGGTATGGATAATAAAATAATAATATAATAATACAAATAATAACAATAATAGTAACTAGTGTGCCCATCGTTGCCCGTGGAATTAAAAAAAAAATCAAATTTTAAAGAAAAAAATTTATGTTTGAAAAAAAATAATTTAAATTTTAAAGATTTTTTAAAAAGATTTTTACAGTCTATGTTACCCCCCAGAATACCCTCAAAAATGTTCGGCCATTGTCTAGTCTTTAGCTAACATATATACTAACATAAACATTAACATATATCACACACAACCGGTGTACATTTAAATATCCGCGCTGGGCCAACCTTTGCAATAATAATAATAATAATATTAATAATAATAATAATAATAATAATAATAATAATAATAATAATACTGCAGACTAACTCACTGATGAATTCCTTCTCTAAGACGAACAGCATCAAGGGGAGAATACCAGAGTTTCCTTACAGTGATACCATCAGGTTACTTAATCAATCAAACAATAAAATAATCAATCATTTATCAAATTATTAAATCAACATTCAAATCAATCTCTCGAGAAATTCAACAATTATTTTATCAAATCAATCAATTTTAACATCAACTATTTATAGGGACTGTAGGTGTAATTTAAAGTGACTCACCATTTAAAGAGCGGCTATGCCCCCTTTTACATGGATTGTAATTAAAAATTCTGTCGGCAGACCCTTAAACCAATAAATTTATTTAATTTTTTTATTCATGCTTTATTTGATAATTATGGTATTGGTAAATTAAAAAATAGATCAACATAATTTTGATTTATTTTTCTTGTGTTTTCTTATTCCATATATTTATCAAAAAGTAAATTGATAATAGTTAAGAAAATCAATAAAATACTAATATCAAGTTGATAAAAAGGAAAATTTTGTTTTAGTGAAGCATCTTATGGAAGTCATAGAAACACCAATAAATACACTGATCCCAGCAGTCACAAGGTACGTTTTAAGGGGACTGACAGAGAAGGAGGGGGATATTTAGATTTAAAATAAATCAAATATTCTAAAATTTAAAATATAAAACCTAATGTAAGCTTAAAATGTATTCTGCTCCTTTGCTAGTTACTGTTTGCAATAAACCACAAAATAACGACACATTTGGGAAATTTAATTAATTTTCTTTTCGGGAAAGTTTTCGTTCTTAACTATTATAGAAGAGAAGGGAAATGAATAAATTAAAACTTGTTTTAATATTATGCAGTAAACGGTATTCACATTGCACAATACACATTGCATCAATTTGCTTTTCATATAAATTATTATTCAAAAAGAAAAAATGAGTTCGAAGTGTCTCAATAAGCAGTTCCTTTTAACTTTTGCTTACTAAAGAAATATACTATATTCATAAGCTTTGTATATTTTATTTTTTAATTTAAATAGGATTTTTTTTGAAAGAAAGTCTGTTCTTGTGTCAGTAAAATGTACAACTGTACTTGTACAATGTACGACGTACAGTACTTATTTTGGAGTACTGAAAAGAATACAATACATACAGAGCTGAAAACTTTAGAATGGGATATCCTTAATCCCGATCTGTTAATTAATCCGGAGATTAATAACAAGAGGAGAACAAGTCATATTTAATCTGGAGATTAATGAAAAGAGGAGATCAAGCAATAATGTTGATATCCACCATTCTAAAGTTTTCAGCTCAGTAAATATAAACTGTACTAATTATTATAACCTGTACAGTCTACATGATAGGAAAACAAATGTTAACTTAAAAACATTGTATCACTTCTTAAAAATGATACAATATTATAATTATATTATTAAAATGAACTAAATAAAACTATTATACTTTTCTACTGTAGGGTTCCTGTAACGGACTGTACGGTAATGGAGCTAATGGTGGTGTACATAACATACTACCTGGAGACTCTGGAGATGATGAGGAGGAACAGGTACAACATCCCCACCCCCCCTTAACCCCATTACAGTGAATGTATGTTACTGTATTAAATAGTCGGTTTTTTTGGTAAAACTTATCTGTGATACTTTGATTAAGTTGATTTACTTTAAGCGATACCCCAATAATCCCCCCCTAACTACGCCTATGCCTAGGTCCCAAGATATACATGGTTTTGGTTTTAAACTAAGCTACGGAGCTCCAGAGGTTTAGATGATACAAATGTGTCGGGAGGGTAGATAGGGGAGTTTAGGGCAGGAAATCTATCATGATCTAGGAACATTAGATGCAGCAAACAGGAATATATTTTCATACAACTTAACATTTACATATCAAGTATGTTACATTAATATATATACATGCATACATATCTACAATAAATAGCTAACCACATTAAGCATATGTAGATATAAAACAATCTTTTTTGAAAAATTTAGAACTAAAGAAGTGAGTATATCTTCTTGTTATTTAGTAGATTTTGTTATTGTGCCATAAACCTTTAAACTGATACTTAACCTTTAACTATGAACCCATTATACCTAAACCCAAGCAGAACCCTAAATCCTGAACCTTGAACCCTGAACACGACTCTGACCCTGAGCTCTCTATTCTCTACAACAAACTCTGTCCCCAACCTGAATCATAAACATATATCCCTAAACTCTGAGTTTTAACCCTATCCTCGACCTGAATCCTAAACATAATCCCTGAATCCTGAGCTCAATTTTATTCCCAGCTGAATCTCTAAAATTGAACCCTGAACCTTTAGCTAAACCTTATACCCAACCAGAATCCTATCACTGAGCTTAATGCTGTCCTAAGCTGAACCCTGAACCTTAAGCTTAAAGCTTATCCCCAACCTGAATTCTATCCCTGAACGCTGAACCCTGAACCCTGATATTTGTCTGAAGTCTGGAAAAAGTATAATTTCTCCAACCTTGACCTAAATGTTTGTCGTAAAGATGATGCTACATCTAGATTCCCCCATAAATTCCCCCTCCAATATATCCATATCATTCCTCTTCCCCAGGACTTTCCTATCTTTCCTCCCTGTATCATCAGCCCCCTCCCCCTCTTCCTTCCTCNNNNCCCTCTACCAATATTCCAGGAAGTCTCCCTCAATAAAGCAGTGTGTTATTCTGGCAATCAAAGTAAATTCTCGAGGATTTCTCTAAATATATACAAACAACAAATTCGTGAAGTTTTGTGCCACTCTTTATCACAAAGTCAAAATGAAGGCCAGAATCTTTAAGAACTTGACCCCACCCAAATTACTCTTGCAAAGCCACTTTCTTCTCAATAATATTAGCTGCGGTTCGTTGATAAAGATTTAAATAAGATATTCTTTACGGAATATGTGAAAGAAAAGATTAAACGAATTCCCAATCTTAATGTGGAACTTCCTGAAAAACCTTTTCATTCCTCATCGTCATCCCCTTTAATATACATATTATTTGACCTCCCTGAGCCCAAAATTTAAAGGAGTATCGTTGAACGCAACTCCCGAGTTTCTTTTATAGGGACTTAATATTTGTGTAGATTTTAATTTAAGAGATTCGAAAAAATGGAGAATATAAAGAAACTAAATAAAATAATAGTTCATGGTACCAGTACAAACGTCGGACCCACAAACATCGGACGTTACAAAGGTCGGACAGTACAAACGTCGGACCCAATATCATCGGACGTTACAAAGGTCGGACAGTACAAACGTCGGACTGGTACAAACGTCGAACCGAGACTAACGTCGGACCAGTACAAACGTCAGACAGGTACATTTATTAGGAAAAACGTCGGGCTTTGGTTGAGACCATTGCTATAAGAAATGAATTAAAAATCACTAAAAATCCGCTGAATAAAGTCTCATCCTTTGAATGTAGCACTGTATAAAACAACAGACCTAAAAGGAGTTGAGTTCAATTTTCAAGTTTCAATATGTCTATATCTTTGCACCCCGATGTCGTATAACCTTTGATAGTTCCACCTATGAAATCTATAAGATCAAACAGATTGAAAGTTTGAACGTGTCAAAGTTTAATACCATTACCAGGTTACAAAGATTTAGGGATGAGAATATTTGAGTTAGTGACAAGAACTCAGTAACTTTTAATATATGTTATTAAGCAGTGGATAAAACGAAATAAAATTTTCATAAAAATCTTAAAATTCAAATAATTATTTTCCTTAGTCTGACGTTTGTACTGGTCTGACGTTTATACTGGTCTGACGTTTGCACCAGACCGACATTTGTACTAGTCCGAAGTTTGTCATGGTCCGACGTTTGTAAGTCTTAGTCCGACGTTTGTACTGGTGCCGTTTTTATGACAAATATGTTGATATCCACAAAACTGCCAAACCCCATTCGTGAAACCCTGGTTCTAAAACTGGTTTTCATAACGATACCCTGTCTTAGGTTGTGGGCTCTGGATGAATTTGTATGTATTTTGAGTATAAGGTTTACCTAGCTAACCAACCTTGGAGGTGCACTAGAGAATACTCAATATTCATTTTATTTAGTTTATTATCTACATATTCCATAGATAAACTTATTTTCCAAACCACCGAGGACTAGTACTAGATCGCTAAAATAGGATATCTTGGTACCGTAAACTATACTATAGAATAAAGCCTTTACGGTACTGTCTAGTATAAATTCTGTCAGATCTTAGATTGAAAATAAATGTTTACACCATCAGATTTCAAAGATATAAGGACTAGAAAATTTGAGTTTGTGGCAAAAACGCAGTTCCTTCTTTAGATATGAGGCAACATTATTGTTCTGCTCGCCAAAATAATTTATTAACCTACGTACAGACGACGACTTCAAATTAATACATTATTAAATTAGATATTTAATTAAATGGGTCTGTTTACACTGCACAATTTCCGTTTCTCATTTTCACTGCTCTTTTTAAAATCATAACTTGAATCTTATAGTCGTCTTCCTATTCCAGAGTTTTCTATTTCATCGTTGTATATCAACATTTCTTGGATACACCTTTGTTATAAAGAAAAGTTAACGGATTGGAACTTGAGAAAATAGAATTATGTTAGATGCATTCAAGGTTTCAAAGGTTGGTTGTTTATTTAGAGTTCTCCTGGTAGTAATCAATATACATAATATAAATCATCAGGATGCATCCAATGCATCTCTCACATATTTCTTCACAACAATCCACAGCAGAATTTGGAGTGGAATAAAAATGTGGAGTAGAGCAAGGATATAGAGTAGGATAAGGAGTAGGATAAGGATATGGAGTAGGATACGGATATAGAGTAGGATAAGGATATGGAGTAGGATACGGATATAGAGTAGGATAAGGATATAGAGTAGGATAAGGATATTGAGTAGGATAAGGACATGGATTAGGATAAGGACATGGTGTAGGATAAGGATAGAGTAGGATAAGGATATGGAATAGGATAAGGATATGTAGTAGGATATGGATATGGAGTAGGAGAAGGATATGGAGTAGGATAAGGATGTGGAGTAGGATAAGGATATGAAGTAGGATAAGGATATGGAGTTGGATAAGGATATGGAGTAGGATAAGGAAGTGGAGTAGGATAAGGATATGGAGTAGGATAAGGATATGGAGTAGGATAAGGATATGGAGTAGGATAAGGATATGGAGTAGGATAAGGATATGGATATGGAGTAGGATAAGGATATGGATATGGAGTAGGATAAGGACATGGAGTAGGATAAGGATATGGAGTAGGATAAGGATATTGAGTAGGATAAGGATATGGATATGGAGTAGGATAAGGATATGGATATTGAGTAGGATAAGGACATGGAGTAGGATAAGGATATGGAGTAGAATAAGGACATGGAATAGGATAAGGATATGTAGTATTATAAGGATATGGAGTAGGATAAGGATATAGATATGGAGTAGGATAAGGACATGGAGTAGGATAAGGATATTGAGTAGGATAAGGATATTGAGTAGGATAAGAATATGGAGTAGGATAAGTATAAGGATATGGAGTAGGATAAGGATATGAAGTAGAATAAGGACATGGAATAGGATAAGGATATGTAGTAGGATAAGGATATGGAGTAGGATAAGGATATGGAATAGGATAAGGATATGTAGTAGGATAAGGATATGAAATAGGATAAGGATATGGATATGGAGTAGGGACAGAGGGTGAAGAAGAATAAGAAGAAGAAGAAGAATAAGGATAAGATGAAGGATAAGAATAAGGATAAGAAGAAGGATAAGTAGAGGGACAAGATGAAGGATAAGAAGAAGAATGAAGAGAAGAATTAGGTTGATAGAGATGAAATAGAAGAAGATGGAGAATAAGTTTGTGAATAGGATAACTTTAATCCGATTTAGGTTGAAGAGGAAGAGGAGGAACTACTAGACGTCAATGCTCAAGAGATGTTGATGCAAGATTATCCGTCAGATTGCTTTCCGGTCAGGTCGGTCATAAACATCTTTTTTTTTCATATTTAGAGATCTATGATCGCCATTTTCTAGCATTTAAAGGTATCAAAAATTGTCGTTGCGACAACTTTCTTTCTATATATTGGGGATTCAAACGAACGGTAATGATTAAGATTTTACGAAATTTTATCTAAAAAAAATATAATCCTGATACTTTATGTTTATTATACTAACAGTGTTTCTCAAGAAAACATTAGAATCAGCTGTAAGGATTTAAGAATTTGAACATGTCATAAGTTCGCGATTCTAATAACACATTTTTAAAAGTTTAAGAAACATTTCTCTAATCCTGGGAATTCCAAAACGTGGTCTGTTTTCTAAATTCTATTTAAATCCATTAATTATGAAAGAAAAATTCCCATATAAGACCAAAGCTTGGAAAGCAATACAGATTCTATTTTATTAAAGATTGCAGATGGTTAATTTTTTTGATGTTTATCGGGATTTCTGGACACCCTGTTTTTGAAGACTGGTTTAGAAACTTTTTTTACTTGCCTTACTTTCAATGTAAAGTACATTATTTTCATTCCCTTGATTCTCGAAAGGTTTTCCTTCATTATTTTCCACCATTTCTCAAACCATCATTTATTTTCTAAACAGAATGTGGAAATTTCTAGACAAATTTATTTTCATTTTTTTTTCCTTTTTTCAGATGGTACGGATACTTCCCTTGTATGATTGGTGACGATGATTCCCCGTTTTGGCAGGGCTGGGCCAACCTGAGGATAAAAACATTTCGTCTGATTGAAAACAAATATTTTGAGACTGCTGTGATAGCCATGATCCTGCTCAGCTCTCTAGCTTTGGTTAGTTCAGTATTCAAGGGGATTGTATTAAGAATGCCAGAGGTTTTTATTCAACCTTAAAAGGACTTTAAGTGTATGTTTTAAGTGACCCTCCATGTAAAGATGATAATGCCCGATTCACAACGGTATTCTCAAAACCTTTATCTGATCAATAGTGTTAAAGATATTGCCATTTTTCTAGGTTTAAAAGAGTTTAAAATTGTGAAAGGAAAGCAGAAATGCGCAAGTATAAACATGGATATCTAATTCATACTTAATCCGACTACGCTTTATTGGTACTGTCGTGAATCGGATGTTGCCTCATTGCAGGAAGGGTCACTTGAAATTACGCTTACAGTCCCTTTAAAATGTGAACTCAGTTTTGCAGAATGTTTAAACAAATATTGGTTTTAATTGGGACGTAAATTAGATCAAAACAAGAAGAAGGGACTTTTCTTCTGTCAGGGCATCTTTATTGTGGTTTAGTGAGATACAGTTTTAACCTTTAAAAAGAGAATCAATATACAAATATATATTTCCGGGTTCCGGGTTTCCAATTTTTTAATTACAAATGGTTCAGCACACTTCCTGGATTTCCTTTTGTCAGGAAATATTATTATTTAATTCCTGTCCAGAGCAGAGTATATAAAACCAAACTTAAAAGTAGGAAACGTTTTGAACATGTCACTTTATATAGACTGTAGAGTGTAGACGTCATTTTAAGTGACCCTCCATTTTTGAAGTGGCATGTTTGAGTCGCAACGGTACCATTAAAACATTAGTCTGATCGGCGAGGATAGAGAAATCCTTGTTTTTCTAGCTGAGAATCAATTTCCGGGAAACTTGAGTGGAAGGAGGGTGTACAGTCCATTCCAGTTTACACTTATGTTTTGCTCTACTCAATTATCAGTTAGAAAAAAAAAGAATTGATCCGTCATTGACGACTTTACAAAGGTGTATAAGGCACCGTTGTGTACAATTGCTTTTCTTTGAATACATATATTATTTATATTATTTTATTAGCACTAATTATATAATATATTGAAAAGGCTGCTGAGGATATATACCTGGAGGAGCGTCCTGTCCTTCAAGATGTACTCTACTACATGGACAAGATCTTCACCGTTATATTCGCCATGGAGATGACCGTCAAATGGTTGGCGCTTGGCTTCGTCAAGTACTTCACTAATGCCTGGTGCTGGCTGGATTTTGTTATCGTTATGGTGAGTTTAATAATACATTTTAGAAGTCGCACCCGGGAGGGGGGGGGGGGATTTGCTGATATTCACAAAAAAGAACAAGAAAATCTTGTTATTGCCATTGAATACAAATACAAAGTAAAGAATATACTCAGGGATTAGCAATATTATTTTTACATAAATAAAAAAGAATGCGTAAAAAGATTGTAAAGTTTCCCTTTAATCCTAGTCCTCCCTGGCCAATTTGATAATTGAATACCTCGGACGGGTTGGTGTCTCCGGAGTCAGAGTTTTCAGAACATTTAGATGTATCCGTCCTCTCAGGGCTATGTCTAGAATAGAAAGTCTTAAGGTGGAGTACATATAGTGTATGTACTAACCCAGGCAGGGTACATTATCTAATCTGCATACTAACAATGGTGCATGGCAGGGTACATAAAATAATCTAAGTAATAATTAGTGTGGTGGCAGAGTTTGTAGCACGGTACAAGAATGGGTGGTTGCAGGGTACATAAAATAATCTAAGTAAAACTAGGATTGTGGCAGAGTATATGAAATCAATCATGTATAAACTCTAAAGGTTAACACAGTGCATTTTTGCTTATAGACCATAAAATACAAATATATCAAAATTTGGAAAGCATTTTATACAAATGAATTTAAAGAATGGTCAAAGCCAGTTAAAGTTATAACTTGTCAAACTATCTCATTTCACATAAAATGTCTGTCTAGCTTGCCCTGGCCCCTGGCCTACTTTGATACTTGAGCTAAATGATTCTGAATGATTATTTGTTTCCATAAAGAAAGATCTAAGAATGAATGATTAAATGTTAGATCTTTATGTTGTATAATGTATATATCTTTAACAAGAGAATCCCGCGTTCTATCCTTAAATAATTAATATATTAATCTGCCCCTTGTAAAGTAGCAGGCTGCTTCTGTATATAGATATATAGATGTATATTGTATACATATACATATAAACAGAACCAGAATAAAGAATGCTATACAAGGAATAAGGTTTAGTGGGAATAGATTGTTCATGGGAAGGTGAAAGTGCTCATGGGAATGTTTAAAGAATTTTCGAAACAGTTACATAGTTCTTACGATCAATCAGAGAGTTTTTGGGAACAGTTCCAAAGTTCTTGGGAATATTTAGAGAGGTTTTTTTTGGAACAGTTTGAGAGTTCTTGGGAATATTAAGAGAGTTTCTGAAAACGGTTTGATATAGTTCTTGGGAACAATTTGAAAGTTATTGAGAACACTTATAGAGTTGTTGGGAACAGTACGAGTGTTCTGGGAAAGGAATATGCAGGGAGCCATTTAAAAGAACAAATAAAAAATAGAATTTGGGAATATAAGTAAAATGGAAAAAAGGAATGAAAAGGATGTAGGAAACGAATAGAAGAAAATAAGATAGATGAAGGAATGAAAAGGGGGAAAGAAGGGGAAGGCATATAAAAAGAAAGGTAGATGAAGGGCTGAAAGGGGGAAGGGAGGAGAATGAATAGAAGAAAAGTAAAGGTGGATGAATGGTTGAAAAGGGGAAGGAGGAGAATGAATAGAAGAAAAGTAAAGGTGGATGAATGGTTGAAAGGGGGAGGGAGGAGAATGAATAGAAGAAAAGTAAAGGTAGATGAATGGTTGAAAGGGGGAGAAGAATGAATAGAAGAAAAGTAAAGTTGGATGAAGGGTTGAAAGGGGGAAGGGAGGAGAATGAATAGAAGAAAAGTAAAGGTGGATGAAGGGTTGAAATGGGGAAGGGATGAGAATGAATAGAAGAAAAGTAAAGGTAGATGAATGGTTGAAAGGGGGAGGGAGGAGAATGAATAGTAGAAAAGTAAAGGTGGATGAATGGTTGAAAGGGGGAGGAGGAGAATGAATAGAAGAAAAGTAAAGGTGGATGAATGGTTGAAAGGGGGATGGGAGGGAGGAGAATGAATAGAAGAAAAGTAAAGGTAGATGAAGGGTTGAAAGGAAGATGGGATGAGAATGAATAGAAGAAAAGTAAAGGTAGATGCAGGGTTGAAAGGAGGGAGGGAGGGAGGAGAATGAAAAGCAGAAAAAAAGGTGGATGAATGGTTGAAAGGGGGAAGAGAGGAGAATGAATAGAAGAAAAGTAAAGATGGATGAAGGGTTGAAAGGGGGAAGGGAGGAGAATGAATAGAAGAAAAGTAAATGTGGATGAATTGTTGAAGGGAGGGGAATGAATAGAAGAAAAGTAAAGGTGGATGAATGGTTGAAAGGAGGAAGGGAGGAGAATAAATAGAAGAAAAGTAAAGGTGGATGAATGGTTGAAAGGGGGAAGGAAGGGGAACGAATAGAAGAAAAGTAAAGGTGGATGAATGGTTGAAAGGGGGACGGGAGGTAGGAGAATGAATAGAAGAAAAGTAAAGGTGGATTAATGGTCGAAAGGAGGAAGGTAGGAGAATGAATAGAAGAAAAGTAAAGGTTGATGAATGGTTGAAGGGAGGAAGGTAGGAGAATGAATAGAAGAAAAGTAAAGGTGGATGAATGGTTGAAAGGGGGAAGGGAGGGGAATGAATAGAAGAAAAGTAAAGGTGGATGAATGGTTGAAAGGGGGAAGAGAGGAGAATGAATAGAAGAAAAGTAAAGGTGGATGAATGGTTGAAAGGGGGAAGGGAGGAGAATTAGAAAGAAAGTACGATGCCTGGAATAAACAAAGCAGTATACAAGTTGCCAACTATTGCTCAATGTAATATTTTATTATTTTTAGTTCTGCTTTGGATAGTTTCAAGATTTATTTATGTCCTCATAGTGGGCTAAATATTGTGTTATACGAAGCCTTAAAAAGAGTGGCAGAATTATGATTTGTCCGATAACCCCCTCTCAAAAAATATAACTTTTTGTTCTATTTTTTCCAGTATTGAATAACCCAATAAGTAAATGCAAGAATATCCCGAGAAAGTAAAAGGTTTTCAACACAATAGATTTCATGTTTACTACAGACCTACAGTCTTTTCATGTGGTTAGCGAAGAAACTAATCTTTGGGAATTCTGGCTCGGATAAACATTTCCGTTAGGTTTTATTTTTAGAATAAACTACGATATATCCATCACATTTTGTTTATAAATACGAGCAAAATGTTAGTCATTTCTAAATGCTTTTTGATAAACCAACTAATCTTCCTATACAACTAACCATATATAGAGAACCCAGAAAACTGAGATACAGTGGAGTAAACTCCACTATAACCATCCTTGAATGAATTGAGGTTTTAACCTGGTTGACAAGTGACTGCAAAAGTCATGCCATATCTGGGTGTCTCATCGACTGTTGAACCACTTTTGAATGTTTAAGTCTACTCACCAACTGGGCGAATTATGGTGGAAAAAAACTCGACTTAAACTCGACTTTATGAACTCCAGTTTGCAACTTGGTTCAAAAAACGGTGTAAACACTCGGTTATGACACGACTATTGCAAAGTTTAACTCTACTTGACAACTAGCTGTTCCATCCAGTTCTGTCTGTTTGGTTGGAAGGTTTACTTTATCAACTATAACTAGTCCTTTAACAAACTAACCAACTAACCAACAAAACAACTAATCAACTAATCAACTAACCCTCTAGGTATCTTTGATCAACTTCACCGCAACTTTGCTTGGAGCTGGAGGAATCCAGGCTTTCAAGACTATGCGAACCCTCAGGGCTCTCAGACCACTCAGAGCTATGTCTAGAATGCAGGGCATGCGGGTAGGTCACTCTCATATAGGGCATGCTCAGCATTCTGCTTTTAGACTGCAGTATTATGCAACACCTGTTTTGCATGCCAACATATTATAAATTTAATGTCTTAAAGAAAATTAATATTTAACTAATGAAAATTTGAAACTGTTGTACATGGACTGTATTCCTATATTTTTATTTTCTTGAATACAAATTATCTGCTTTCATTTTTGGGTTTGAAAAATCGTCAATGGTGTCAAATGGCTAAAACGAATTAAAAAAAAATCAAGAGCAACCTTTTTTATATTTTTTTTTATTATTTTAGTATGTAAAATTTATATTGCACTAAAAGCTAATCCAAACGTAATTTAATTATGTGTAAGTATTTTGATTTGTCATAAATCAACCGAAGCAAATCATTTTATTTATTGGCAAATTTGCCCCGAATAAAAACAAACGAAAACAATAAACACAGAGTTCTTATTTATGTTTTTACTAAGTCATAAAAGCAATTTTTAATATATGCAGTGTACATATAATGTAGTAGATATACACAATCAATATATTCCTATATTTTTATTTTCTTGAATACAAATTATCTGCTTTCATTTTTGGGTTTAAAAAATCGTCAATGGTGTCAAATGGCTAAAACGAATTAAAAAAAAATCAAAAGCAACCTTTTTTATATTGTTTTTATTATTTTAGTATGTAAAATTTATATTGCACTAAAAGCTAATCCAAACGTAATTTAATTATGTGTAAGTATTTTGGTTTGTCAAAGCAAATCATTTTATTTATTGGCAAATTTGCCCCGTATAAAAACAAACGAAAACAATAAACACAGAGTTCTTATTTATGTTTTTACTAAGCCATAAAAGCAAATTCTAATATATGCAGTGTACATATAATGTAGTAGATATACACAATCAATATATATATATATATATATATATATATGTATATACTGATATACATACAATTACAATATACATTCAATAAACAGATCAATTGATAAACAGAGAGGAAGCTCAGTGCAAATTGTTGTTATTAATAATAGAAAATATATTCTATCAGTACAAATATAAATCCCTCTTTTATACATCAATTATATTTACAATTACTTTTAATATTGGGTGTTTAGTACAAATTTTCGATAATGTATTAACAACTTTTAGGATAAAATATTTGGACAAAAAAAAATACTAAAAATGTGTGTATTGAAGTTACATTAACATGATAAAAATGATACGACTTTTGCTAAGTTTCTACGAAGTTATAAAAAAACGCACTGGAAAGGAATAAAAATGTATAAGAACTACTATATAAAATAACAAGTATCTACGCGGATATATATCTAGGAAAAGTCTATACGCAGCAGTATTGTACGTGTAAGAAATGTATAAATGAAAGGAAGAATATAAATATACTGAGTGATCCATTGCATCTTGTCTTTTTAGATAACATAGAAGGCCTGGGAATCCTAGGATAATAGCAAATATTCATCCGACTATCTATCTATCTATATATCTATTTCTTTTTATCTATCTATATTCTATCCATATTTCTTTTCGTGTATCTATCTATTTGTTTATCATATCTATCTATCTAAGTTTTCTACTTTTTTTATTACTACCTATCTATCCAAGCCTTTAAGATTTTATGTATATCTATATTTATATATACATAATACATATATAGGAATTGTTGCACCTTTTGCAAGCCCGGGTTTTAGCTAATTATATCTTATTTAAATTTTTTTTTTATGTTTTGAGTATAAACAATAAACATGAAGGGATGATGATTGACAGATCAAAACGCAATTGGATTAAAACTAGTTTTAATTTTTTACATTTTAAATGTAAGAAGATCAAGCTAGAAGTCCTTTGAACTATAGAAAGTACAGTGAGAACAAGAAAACTGTGGAAGAGTAAGACGACGTTTAGACTTTAATTAGTCCAATGAACATAAGACACAGGAATTATGCAGTGTAAACAAACCCATGTATCTGAATAAGTTGATTTAATACGTTAATAGTGAAGCGTATTGCTTTTTAAAACATCAAATACACTCAAAGTATAAATTGGATGTCGTCTTCTATTCCACAGTTTTCTGATTCTCATTGTATAGTGGTGTTTGTTTTCAGAAATTATTTACTAACATAATAGTATAACACAGGTAGAACGAGTTCAGAAGACGTTTTGTTAGATTGTGTGGGGTTTATGGTTGTGTTTGTTTAAACATGAGATAAATCTACAATCTCTCTCTCGTCCTATCTATGTTTTCTTTGATTTTTCCCTAGTCCTATCTGTGTTTTCCTTGAACTTGCAATGTAAGAAAACAAATTTGATCCTACACACATTTTAAGTCTAATTAAATTAAGTTAAGATTTAATTGTTTTGCAACTTTCTACAAAAAAAATCTTTAAAAAAAAGATAATTTACATATTAATAGAATGATTTCTGATACTTTTACTTAGTATTGATCAATACTTTGTGTGAATTGTTAAACATGAATAAACTAATCTATTAATAATTGTCAGGTTGTGGTAAATGCCTTGGTTCAAGCTATTCCTAGTATATTCAACGTGTTGTTGGTTTGTATCATTTTCTGGTTAATATTTGCCATCATGGGGGTTCAGCTCTTCGCAGGCAAATATTATAAGGTAAAACATTATAATATTTGAATTATTAAAGGGGAGTGTCGGAAAAATTAACATTTAATGAGGTACATGCTTGATTCACAGCGATATCTTTTTAACCTCTGAGAGAGATTTAGTAGACATGATTGTTTTTCAATCTAAAAATTTATCATTTCTTATTCAATTTTAACATGCTATGTAGCAGACTCAGAGAAGAAGATTAGTGAAATTAATCTCTTTTTAAATAAGAAAAACAACGATATCTTCTTCAGTGTTACTTATGTAAAGATTTTAGGTGTGAATTGAGCATGTAACTTTTTAAAAGGAATGTTACGTTATGACTACAATCCCTTTAACACACTTTAATTTAAAGAAATCCTTCAATACGCATAGAAGTGTAATTGTTCATAAATCTATGAGATCCAAGAATATCTTAGCCAAGGTATTAGAACACACTAGATGTGACAGTAAATCAATATATGTTGTAAAACAAAAGAGGGAGAAGAGAAAACCCGTGAGAAAAAATCCTTGTTTTGAGCAAATTTGCGGGCTTTAAGGAACTGTTAAAGTAAAGTGAAAGTGAGTTAAGATTAAAGTCTAAAAATTTTTAATCCATATAACGTAAAATAGAGCTTTCGGACACAGTTTTAAATCAATTTCTCAAGACAGGGACATCAAACAGAACTAATATTGGTCGCAATCAACTTCTACATATACCCGTCCTTTCATTTTACCTAAAACAGTCGCTGAAATTAACTCAACGTTCAATAATATACAGTAGGACTCATAAAACTGTGGAATAGGAAGACGACCCAGATTAGGATTTTGAATAGTTCAAGAAGCATGAGCAGTTTTAAAATGCACAGACCTTTTTTATTCCTCTATAAGTTAATTTTCAAGCCACTTCTAAATTGAATTGCTTTTATCAACATCAAATTCGCAAATGAATATTGCCTTCCTATTACATAGTTTTATGGGTACAGCATACGTTTTGTAGTCAAATAAAACTAAATAATCGTTTTATGCAGAACTTTTCCCGTCTAGTGTAATTTTGATATCTTTGGATAATTGCCCTTCTAGTATAATTCCAATATCTTTGAATAATTGACCTTCTAGTGTAATTCTATCTTTCAATAATTGCCCTTCTATTGTAATTCTAATATCTTTGAATAATTGCCCTTCTAGTGTAATTCTAATATCTTTGAATAATTGCCCATCTAGAGTAAGTCTAATATCTTTGAATAATTGCCCTTATAGAGTAATCTTTGGATTAAAGCAATGATTTAATAGAACTAGGGAGAGAACAAAAAGTGTTTGTTTAAATTCAACTTTGACGTATTATAACATCTTTATAACTTTTTTTAAAACAAATCGGAATACCTTAACGAGGCCGAAATTATAGATTTTATTTTTTGCAAAAACTCATTTCCTATATTAATTTTCAAGTGGAAATTACTGATTTTATGTGTTGTTTGTTTACAATTTAACATTACCAAGAGCTGTCCTAATACGTCACAGAACAATGTAAACAACCCCTCTCTAAACTTAAATAAATATCGTTCTATTGTAATATCAAACTTAGATCTGATTTATTTTAATCTTTTCCTGTAAAATTATATATTTTCCTCCCCCATGTTTTCTGGAGTCAGATAACCCCGACAGCTAGGTATAAATCTAGTTTATGAGGTTGATTAAACCGGTTCTTACACCTTGTTTACTTTCAATATATTCTAAATGTTTTTATCAATATTCCTCAGGCTAAGTCTGGAATTTAGATTTGAGGATTTAGAACAAATGCAGTTGTCTGAATAGAGAATACAAAAGCTTTAAAATATTGCTTTTAAGCTTGATGTCGTCTTCCTTATTTTCTATCCTTGTAGTAAAATAGTTATATAAAAACATTTAAAAATTTGTATTTATATTTAAGTTTTAGGAAAAGTTATAATTTAACCTTTTAAGAGGTTGCGTGATAATTATACATTTAATATTTAATCTATATGCATAATGCATTATAGACAGTAGACACTGACATATATTCAATGTACGCATAGACATGCATACAAAGATTAATATTTTTAGTGTAGTTTACAAATTTACTAAATATTCAAATTATCTTGCATAAATCATTGTATTACATATTTATAATTACATTTACGACGTAATTGCTGGATTTTATATATATATATATATAAGCTTTATTATGTAAATATAATTTGACGGTACACTATTAATACAAACATATTATATAACTTTATTTTTAATGAAGAAGTTTGGCCGTGTTAAAAAAGAAGTGTCAAATAATACATATTAGAAATAAGACAAATAATAAAATCAATAATATACAATGTTATCTACAAAAGATGAGGCGCGCTTTAATGACGACATAAAACTCCTCAAACATATCGAACTGAAGATTGAACTATAATTTCTGCATTGAAAGGGACTGTAAGCGTAATTTTAAAATCTCCGATTTACCCTTGAAACCTTAATCTGATTAAAAGCGTGTAAGATATTGTCGTTTTTCTGACCCAAGAACTGATGAACTGTGATAACTTTTCCATTCCTTTTTATACGCAAGAAAGCGTAAGTCACTTCCACAGAGAGAAGAGAAGCTACAGCTGAAAATAAACAGATTAACTCCCTTTATATTATTCAAAAATTCACATTTCTATTAACCTTAATCCCGCTTTTATTGACATAGAACAAAGTAGGTATTATCATAAATAAGTTTAATCCTAAATTATTATTTCCTAACGCTATACTTACACAGTTTATAAAATCAAATCTTCACAAATGTAGTTGCTTCTAAGCATTTATTTACATATATAACGTGCCTCAGATATATAAATATATTTATATTAATTGTGAAAATTACAACAGTCAGGCTTGGTTTCCAAAACAGAAAGGAATTGAGTCTTTGCCACAAATTCAGTTTTTGTAAAACCTATATCTTTGCAACCTTATGATTTAAACCTTTAATATTTCAAACTTACATTATTTGATCTAATAGCATTCATAGTTTGAAATATTAAAGGTCTACGACTTTGGGTTGCAACGATATTGAAATTAGAAAAGCAGAGTTTGTGTCAAAAACTCAATTCCTTTCTTTAAAAGTCATGAAACTGATGCCTGTATTAGTGAGACCGGGCCACCTTTAAATTTCACCATGCCATGGACTTAGGTCTTACTTTGTCACTTCATTTTACGTTTACCCTATATTTGAAGATTTAAGTGACCAAAACTAATATTTTTAACTTCGGTTTTATAAACGAGAATTTTGCCAAAATACTATTAGTTGCTTTTATAGATGAATTAACTTTCATCTGGACTACAATAAATATTATAGATTCCCTAGACCAACATACTTTATACCCACTGATAATAACCCCCCCCTCTTAACCCTTTTATGTAATGTTTATTATTAATAAATCCTTCACATTTATCCATTAAATGTTCTCTAATTATTTAATGGTTCTGGTGAATCCAGGTACATTTAAACATGCTTAAACATTTCTTTCATTATGTCAAATTCTGTATTAGAATTAGAATTCTGTACGCTTAATCACTAATATTCTCACTATCAATCAAACTACGATTGGCACGGTAATCCAGACGTTGCAAGCTCTCACAGAAAAATCGATACATACATGTTTAAGGCTTTAAAAAGGTTAAAGAATTAAAATTAAAAGACAAGGTGTGCTTCAAAGTCGACCCAGTGTTGAAAATGTATGCAACTTTTTTGGATTTTTGTTTTTTGGATTTAGGGTATTCATTCCAAGCATAAATTGATTAAAAAAGAATATAATTTACAAAAAAAGGGAGAAACAATTCATAAAAAAGGAGAGAAGTTCAAGGTTAAGAATAAATTTCGCTTAGAAAAATGGCGATTTTTTCCCGCGATCGCCCAATCCTTAAACCTTTAGTTTTTCTCTTTCGTTCATCTAAATTTTTCTCAGTAAAATCTTTGTTTTTTGTTTAAAATAAATCTAGCTTCTAGCGCGTCGCGTCAAATATTTAGTAAATTTTACATTCTAATGAAAGAAATCTTATACTTTTAACTACTATTGAAGAAAACTAAACTAGAGAAGCTACGAGGTCAGAAAGTGGTACCAGTAGAGTCGCATACAGTTTACCTTTATCCTATCTCCTTGTGGAGCTTGGCGTGGTTCAGAAACGTAATTTACACGAACTGCGAATGTTAACTTTTCCCCTTTTTCCCAATATCATTGCAAGAAAGAATCCCGAGAGAGCAGTGATATACAGTTGGAAGGGTAATATATGTTTACTGTTTACAAATTATCCATCGGCATTCGATATTCAAGAATATATATTCAGAATACACTTCATAATATTCCCTTTATACTGTATTCACTTCATAATATAATATAGTACAGTACAGTACAGTACAGTACAGCACAGTACAGTACAGTACAGTACAGTACAGTACAGTACAGTACGGTACAGTACAGTACAGTACAGTACAGTACAGTACAGTACAGTACAGTACAGTACAGTACAGCTAAGCAAGGTGCAGTACAGTACAGTATAAAACAGTATCTTATTTTATAATGAAATTCAGTACATTAATGTGCATGTATTTGATGTAGTTCGGGTTTTATGGTCTTGTAAATAATGCTTTTCAATCAAATACCACGTTTTTATAAATTTATTTTTAGGTTGTACAGAAAACAAACTAGGATGATAGTCAAATCATTCAATGATATTCTATAATTCTTTTCCATTTAATAATCTGATTGCGGGGTCATTTCTCTAAAAATAGTCCCTCCACAATCCACATTCTCTAGGAGAAAAGATAAATTCTTCTATCATGGTAGAATAAGAAAACCAAATGAAAAGATTAAAGATTGTTTTTACAAATAGTTTTTTCAGAAGAAATCAAAACTTTCTATTTCATTGTATACCCTTCTTAATCTTAACTTAATAGATATAATTACTTTAATGTTCAAATAACCACTTGTAGTCTTTACAATGTGTTCAACTGAGTATTTATTTTTATGTACTTTTTTGCTTAAAATTCAATTTCTGTACAATATACAAGTATACATGCATAATGTTTAGGTGTACATTTAGAATGTATAAGTGTACATAAAGATTGTATAAGTGTACATGAAGAATGTATAAGTGTACATGAAGATTGTATAAGCGTTCATAAAGAATGTATAAGTGTACATGAAGTTTGTATAGATTGTACATGAAGAATGTATAAATGTACATGAAGAATGTATAAGTGTACATGAAAAATGTATAGATCTACATAAATATTGTATAAGTGTACATGAAGAATGTATAGGTGTACATGAATAATGTATAAGTGTACATGTATCTAGTGCCTGGATGTGAACACGAAGGAACGAATGAGCCATGAGGTAGTTCCTGATGTACGAGCTTGTCTAGCTGAGAATAATACTGAATGGGTCAACTCACCCATTAACTTCGACAACGTAGCCGCAGCGTATATTTGCCTCTTCCAGACCGCAACATTCAAGGGTTGGGTTCCGATCATGAACGATGCGATAGATTCTAGAGATGTGAGTAGGACTAGGAGTAGAGGAGTTGATAAATAGATTCCTACCCTGCATGTTGTATACTATAGTAGAATAGACCTCTATAAATTTTATAGATAGTTTTAGAACCTTTTATAGGTCCTTGGATACACCGGAGTTATTCATTATATACAATTATCTAAATGGATAAATAAATATATCCAGCCATATTTACACCTTATATTGTATAGTGTCGAGATATAATAACCTTGGAGAGAGTGAACTATGAGATTACTCCTGATGTTAATGCCTGCCTGGAGGAGAACGGAACAGAATGGATCAATTCTCCAATTCACTTTGACAACGTACCAATGGCCTATCTCTCTCTCTTCCAAGTCGCTACCTTCAAGGGTTGGCTTGCGATTATGAATGACGCAATTGATTCTCGGGATAATGTGAGTGAGCGATGTGTTGAATTTTCTTTCTCTCTTCATACTCATGCACAGTTTCTCAATGCACTGATCTACACATAACAGGATTATTTCTCTGCAGGAGTTATTCACAGTTCTAGGTTTGCACATGGACCAGGATCCAGAGACAAGCTGGTCAGTGTTCCAAGATACCTGGAGAAAAGTGTGTGTGTTTTTTAATCTTTTATTGTCTAGTTACCCCACATGCATGTTTTTTTTAATCAAAAGCATTGTTTTTCATAATTTTTTTCTAATTACTTTTTATTTTTTATTTTTGTTTTGATTAGTGCGTAGACGAGGCGGGTCATCTCATGGATGCTGAGATAATACCTGACTTCGGCACTTGCATGCAATACAACCTCACGTGGGTCAACTCGGTCATGAACTTTGATCACGTGGCGAAGGCGTATCTCAGTCTGTTCGAGGTCGCCATATTCAAGGGCTGGACGGGGATAATGTACGATGCTGTGGATTCTAGAAGTGTAAGTTAAATCTTAAGAAGTCTTAAGTTTATGTCTACCTTTTAAACCCCTTACCCCTGAAAAAAATTTAATCACAAATGACGATTTTGCCAGAAAAACTGTAGATTCTAGGGAACACTGCCCCTTAGATCACCTACTTTCTATACCATTAAATTAAAATATAAATATGACGTCTTGTTTAATACAGATTTGCATGTTAAATTAGAAATAGTCTTGCGTTTTGTTTATGTTAAAAATAGAACTTTTTCACTAATCCACCATCTTAATTTTTATAAATATTTTGTCAGCTTTTTAAGGCTTTTTTAAAATACAAATTGTACGTACGTTAACTTTAAAAATTGACGTGTGACAAAATACAAACAAAAAACGGAAAAGGTGATGCAGGGGGAGCTGAGAGGGGATGAGAGGCTTTTATAAGAAGTATTGACGAGGAATGGAAAGAAAGATGAGAGGGGAATGGGAGAGGGATTGGAGAGGAGGGGTGGAATGGGTGAGGGATGAGAAGGAGAAATGGTAGAGGGATAGGAGGGGGGTTTGGATAAAGTGGTAACATCAGGGATAGTTTACAGACATATAGTTTACAGACATACAGTTTACAGACATACAGTTTCTATACATACAGTTTACAGAAATGTAGTTTACAGACATATAGTTTACAGACATACAGATTACAGACATACAGTTTACAGACATACAAATTACGGACACAAAAAAATTATAAAACAAGATTTTAAAATAAAATTTATCTAATAAGATTTGATATTAAGATTGGTCTTCAACCTATCCGTGAGATCAATATCTACATGTACATCTACTTCGTGTTCTTCATCGTGTTCGGGTCCTTCTTCACCCTCAACCTGTTCATTGGGGTCATCATTGACAACTTTAACGAGCAGAAGAAGAAGATAAGTATCTAACTTTTCGAAAAAAAGTACTATTAAAAAAAAATTCTTTTTAAAGAATATCTAGTGTAAATTTTTTTTTTTTGGTAAAAATTTTTTTGGGTTTCATATGTTAAATGTCGTTTTTTTCATTTATTAAATGTCGTCTTGACTATTTTTCGATGGATTTTATATGAGTATTCAATTAAAAAACTAATTATCTGCAGCATTCCATTATCAGTAGGTTGGAAAAAACATTTATAGATTCTTTTGGTTTCCCCGAAGTTCTGGGTTAAACTGTTCAATTAAGTTTACACAGCTTGCTCTTATGATGACACATCAAGATTCATACTTGTTTGAGAGTCAATAAACGTGAGATATTCTATTTTGTATCATATTTAGGTTGAGCAAGTATACATGAATTTACATACTTTAAATATTACCAATATATTTCAGACTTTAAATCTTCTGCTTACTGTTGTACTGCTTATTTTTATTTAGTTTAACTGAAAGTTTGCAAAACATATCTTATATTTTATTATCATACTGCAATATCACGCACTGCACAATAACACTGATCTTACCTCGGATTATACAGATAAAGATGTCGCAGATGCATTCCTTCTGGATTCAGATGTCAGTGAACCTTCACTTTCAAACCCATTTTCATATATTTCGTAATTTTAATTTTCAAATTTTTTTGTTGGGCTTTACCTTTTAAAGGATCAAACTTAAAGTTGAAAGGATTAAGGTTTTCTTGAGTTTATGCCAATATAGCCCGTCCAGACAGTTCTTAAACTCTGTATGATCTCAAAAGAGTAGATTGTAAACATGCACCCACAGTTAAAGCCAATCAGTAAGACTTTCTTGTCGTCTTTATTTTAGTTAGAAATGCCGCTAAGTATTCTATATTTTGAAAATGTTATTTCTCATAAATCTCTAAAACTGAAGTTTTCAGAGATTTAACTAACAGTTACAAATTAGAAACTCCTTTCGGCACTTATAATTAAAATAAAGAGAGTAGAAGGTTATTAATGTATGGTGGCAAGGTTTAAATCTGTAATTTACCAAAAAGTCCTCTAATCTTCATCCGAATTTGCACGACTGAAGTATTTACTATAATTTGATAAATAATTCGATGACAACAGCTGATGTCTTATCTGTATAATCTGTGGCTGAACACTCCAATTATGAAATCTGGTACAGGGTACCATGAGTACCATACCAAACATAACAGTTTAAAGATGGCTTTAAGGTCGTCGTTGAGTTTTAAAATACTGAGCTCCATTCACTCGTCATTGTACGTTTATATGTATAATTCTTTTATCAATAATCTGTAAATTCTCGTAGTTCTGGGTCTGACATTCAAGATTGTAAAATAGGTTAACGATTGAATGCCGCAATTTCTTTCAAATATCAAAGACGATCTTCATGTTGTCACTTAACTGTCATGTTTCGTGGGACAGCCTGAACAATTCAGAGGAAGAATTGACTATTACTTTGAAACACTACCCAGTAAACCAGATCACATCGCCTCAGCGTCTATTCCACGTTACCTTTGCAACCTTGACGTGGATATATCGGCGTAAATTATTATGTTTAACCTCTTATCGACGTGGGATCGCACTATATTTGTGTTGTTGTAACAACGTCGCACTAGAAAACGTTGTATCGACATTGTTCTCAACGTTGTCATAATTCTTGAAATTTCCTGACCTTTTAAATTTTCAACGTTGAAATTACCAAACAGGAAGTTGAATCGAAATATCAACCCCGTGTATAATCTTTGTGCGACTCAATTTCAAACATGTATCAACTTCAGGTCAACCTTATTGCGACCGGAAATCGACCTCTAATGAACTATAGATTAACCTTACTTGTACTTGCCATGTCAAAATACAGAGATACAGCTCAATATTTCCCGATATTGAAAGTATTTGGACTGTGCAAGTACAAATTAAAATAGTCAGTGCATTTCAAGCCTAATTTAATCATTCACTTTGTCAATAATAATATATTTTGTTTTCAATAAATAAGATAGATAAAAAAGCTCTGTAAAGTAAGAAATAATGCTACTTGAAATATTAAAGATAAACTACAGTTTAAGACCCGTAAAATTGGTGAATATTAAGACAACATTTTAGCTATCATCTGCATATTTAATGTTGTTATAAATTAAAAAAAGAAATTTGATCAATATAAAAAAATACTGATTTCATACATTCATTAAACGATATATGTTCTACATATTTTTATTATAACTTTTTCGAATTAATGGTTTTTTATAAAGGATCAAAAAAACAATTCACTTTAGGGAAAACCAGATAAACTGTGGACTCGGAAGATTAACTTATTAAGTGAAATGATGTGCACACTGTACCATAATTGTGTTTAATGTTCTTTGGATTATTACAACGTGGTAATCATCTAGTCAATTACGGACGTAAATAAGACGTTAGAACCACGTTGAAATGATCTATACAAATGACGTCATATATGATTTAAGTCTCGACGTTGAGCTGATATGTAGTTTTCCATAGTCGACAAAATTTTGGAATTGTTTCGACCAGATTCGATGTCAACTCAAAGTGGAAAAAACGCCTAAATGGCGACCATGTCGTTATGCGACGTGATCTGGGTTACTGGGAATACAGTGGTCATCGGAATTAAGTAGAATAAGTAGATTGCAGACTTGGTGTAACCCTTTTTAAATTCGTCGTTATATTCTAATTTGATTTGGGACTACTGTATGCTTTTTAGATAAATTCAACACCGCTTCATTACTAATTTGTTTTATTTATAAGGCCGAGATGTTGGTAGGTTTAATAGCTAAGCATTTATCCTATTCTTCCTTTTATTCTTCAATTTCCAGTATATATGTGTATACTAGGTGGTCAAAGGGTTACCCGGAGCTGAAACAAAATAAACCAGAAATCTTCAAAGATTGGGTTTCACAAAATATAAAGATATAGTTTTCCTTCTCACGGCTTGTTTACAGTTTTTGTGGGAGGATTGTTAACATTGCAGTACACACAAATCTGTGAAGCTTTTTAGTAAAAATAAATCTTGGGTCCAGGTAATACTTGAAACAGTAAATATTGTTTTTCTTTTTTTAAACTTTTTGACAAATTAATTTTGGAACTCGAGCAATGGGTAACCCTCGGACTATATTTTTATATTCTTCTCCTTATATTGTACCTAGCAGTCGGAGCAAAGAAAGGCTTATTAAACTATATTCATCTCACAACGTGGAAATTATCATGTTTTTCTTCGCTCTTTAATCCATTTTTATCTCAGTTTTTTGAAATTCAATATTTAAAAATAGACATCTGTATTAACCCAAACCCCAAACCTCGAAACCTGAATCTGAAACAGGAAGCTGAACCTGGATCAAGAACCTGAACCTGGATTAGGAACCAGAACCAGGATCAGGAACCTGAACCTGTATTGGGAACCTGAACCTGGATCAGAAACCAGAACCAGGATCAGGAACCTGAACCTGTATCAGGAACCTGAACCTGTATCAGGAACCTGAACCTGGATTAGGAACCAGAACCAGGATCAGGAACCTGAACCTGGATCAGGAGCCAGAACCAGGATCAGGAACCTGAACAATGATCAGAAACCTAAACATAGATTTGGAGATGTCCGGCTCTTAAAAACCTGGAACCTGGAACCTGGACCCAGGATAAAAGAACTCCATATTAATGCATGCTAATATATTCTTTTATAAAAAAGACTGTAGATATTATACAGAATCGAATGTATTATTTGTACCTATTATACTTTACATTAGAAACATTCCCTTGGAGACTTTTCTTCAATACCTGCCTTGGGTAACAGGCAAAAGAGAGTAGCAGAATGGAGTAACATGAGGGAGTAGCAGGATGGAAGCAGGAGAAAGGGAGCAAGGAGCAGCAGGAGAAAGGAAGCAAGGAGTAGCAGGAGGGAGTAGCAGAAGAAAGGAAGCAAGGCGTAGGGGGCAATGAGTATGGAGTAAGGGGTAAGGAGAGGATATAAAGGAATAGGAAGCAGGGAGTAAGGAGTATAAATCAGGGAGTAGATAGAAGGGAATAGGGTTTTAGGGGAAGGGGTAAGGAGTAGTTATAAGAAAGCAGTGAGCAGGAAGTAGAGAGCAGGAAAAAATGAGCTGGGAGAAATGAAAAGGGAGAAGGGGGCAGACAACAGGGAGAAGGTATCCGGAAATTTGGAGGTTTATGGTTGTGAAGCAGGGAGTAGGGGGAGAAGAAGGCAAGGGCCAGAGAGTGTGGAGAAAGAAAATCTCAATTGATCCTTTTATTTGTTAAAATGATTCTACTAATACTGATTAGTTGAAAGAGTGCTCTCGACAATTCACAACGGGAACCCCTTCAACTTAAAGAAATTATGGTGGTTGCAATTTAAAATAATCTTCGATATTGAGCTCTTTTACCGTTGAAAATTAAGGTTTTGCATATATTACTTGATATTACTTAAAAATCATGACGTTGTGAACTGCTCATGACATCTCATTAAAGTAGAGACCAACTTATTTACGTTAACAATCCCATACATTTGTGTAATTAACTGTATCAAAAAGGAAAATTTAGCAATTGGAAGTGCAAGTAAATTTCAAGAGATAGTTTTGGGTCAAATGTTTGTTCTGAACAAATTTTCCCTGAATTGCATCTAAAGTTTTAAATCTTCCTTGTCAAGCATCTGCATCCAACCTTATATAATCTTATCTGAAACCTACACTCTACAAGGTGTCCCAATATATATGGAAGTGGCGAATTTTACATATTTATTAAGTTCAATCAACGATTAATGAAATTTGAGTTTAGGCAAATGGGATTTGGCTTTTTTGTATCTGCAGAATAAGAACGAAGATCATGAATATTTATTCTAGATGGTTTGATAAATAATTTTATAGAAATCCCATTTTCACCGCAAATAAACTTTAAACTCTCCACAAAGTATTTTTCTAATCTCTACATCGTTGCGTGTTAAAAATATCCAAAATATAAATAATGCAAAGATATTTAGACTAAAATTTGGAGAAGACATGAAAAACAAAGTTTATATTGAACCCATCAATTATTGATTGATTTGCTTATGTAATGCCGCGTAATAAAGAGACGACTTCTTATTATCATTATTCCATTTCCACATAGATTGGAACTACCTGTATGTATAAAGATGGTTTGTGAGTACAAGTATGTTTACTCCCAACCTTTCTTTTTTACTGGATCCTTTAGATCCGTCCCATGGATCCTTTAGAGATCTGTAGATCTGCCCTGCAGTACACTTAATCTTATTTGTTTTTGTTTACGCAGGAGGATCTCTGGAAATGTTTATGACTGAGGATCAGAAAAAATACTACGCTGCGATGAAAAAAATGGGAAAGAAAAAACCGGTCAAAGCAATTCCTAGGCCAAGGGTAAAAAATTTTAAAATAATATTTTTTAGAATTTTTTTAACGATAGATGCCATGCTTTTTATGTGCAGTTTTTTCTTTGAATTGCTTCTCTCAGAGATTTTAATTGTTCTTCCCGAACTTTTTTAGTTATTCGAGGCTGCACATAGTATTCTAGTTTTATTTATTAATTAGGTTTGTCTCGTACCATTCATTAAGGAAACTATAGTCAAAGAAACTTTTCGTTTTTATTTTTTGTGTTAATCCTTTTTTTCTTTAGTGGAGACCTCAGGCAATTATATTCGGGATAGTGACGAACAAGAAGTTCGACATGATTATCATGATGTTCATCGGTCTGAACATGTTGACGATGACCCTGGACCACTACGGGCAGTCCGACATGTGGAACTTCGCCCTGGACAACCTCAACCTTGGATTTATCTGCATCTTCACGACGGAGTGCGTACTCAAGATATTTGCTCTCCGGCAACATTATTTCACTGAACCGTGGAATGTGTTCGACTTTGTAGTCGTTATTCTCTCAATACTTGGTAAATATATTCATCAATCTTCCTGATCTAGAACTTTTACTATCTTCCCCCCCCCCCCATCACCGGGGACAATACCCCCTCTCCTCCACCCTCACCGGGGGACAATACCCCTTTTCCGTTTCTATCTATAAAGTATATTGTCGAGTGTGTATGCTTACATAGATTGATTGTTTAGGTATCCTACTGAGTGACCTCATAGAGAAATATTTCGTATCCCCAACTCTGCTCCGGGTGGTTCGAGTAGCTAAGATAGGACGAGTTCTCCGACTGGTGAAGGGAGCTCGCGGGATCCGAACCTTGCTCTTTGCCCTCGCCATGTCAATGCCTGCACTCTTCAATATCTGTCTTCTCCTCTTCCTTGTGATGTTTATCTTCGCAATCTTCGGGATGAGTTTCTTCATGAATGTGAAGCTACGAGGAACTCTGGACGAGGTTTACAACTTTAGAACCTTTGGTCAGAGCATGATCTTACTCTTCCAGATGTCAACCTCTGCAGGATGGGACGGAGTTCTTAATGGGATCATGAACGAGGAAGATTGTGAACCAGGTAGGATTATGAAGTATGTAGGATTAGGAACCACGTAGGATTGTGAACTAGGTATGATTATGATTTAGGTATGATTAGAACTAGGTAGGATTATGAACAAGGTAGAATTATGAATATGGTACAGTGAAACCCTTAATAACGAATACATCGGAAGAATTTATCAAATTTTCAATGAGTTTTATACTTTATTTCGTAAATTTCAGTATTTGCGAAAATAAATAAATAGCCATGAATATGCGGGAACAGTTTTAAAGAGTTACATATAATCATTTAATTAAAAAACTAAATATCTGCAACATTCCATTATCAGAAAGTGAAGAATACGACATTTGATGAATTCTTTCGATGTATTCGTTATTAAGGGTTTCACAGTAGGATAATTAACAAGTTAGGATTATTAATTAAAAAACATAAAATTCGCTTCTATCCTTCCAAACTTGCTCTATACAACTGCTCTTTGTGAAGTTATCCATAGCTTTCTCTGATAGAATAAGAGATAAGCCTTGCGTTCGTTCAAAATTTTGTTCATTTAAGAACTTCTTAACTTACTGCTCCCATTATCACCATACCGCACATGCAGCATGTATTTTGACATAAACGTTACGTTTTTCTTTATGAATGCTTATCAAGTTTCTTCCCAGAGAGTTTGCTTTAAAACAAAATCAAAAATGTAAACTATAAATTAAGGAGGCAAAAACAAATGGAATCATTGTTCTGTCAGAGTTCAAAGAAATTTAGTCTTTGCCACAAACTTTGATGTTCTAATTACTATTTCTTTGAAACGTATTGTTTGCAGACCTTATATATTTTAAACTATGAGTTGTGTTAGATCGAGTAATCTAAGATTGATTTTCAAAATCATTAGGCTGCAAAGATATAGAGATTATAACGTTTGTGACAAAAACTCAATTCCTTAGCAAAGTTTCATAATATTCACAGTTTCACAGAATACAATTTTGAAATTTGTTAAAATTCTAAAAAAATTGGACGATTGAAAGACAAATCTAGTATGCAACTTTTTTATTAGTTGGACACTTCAATGTATTCTTATGCTGGTATTTCATCTGTATAATCTTTGGCCCCAAGGACCAAGTTAGTGTTCCATCTGGCTAGTCTGTGGCCCCAAGTACCTAGTTTGTGTCCTATCTGTCTTGTATGTGGCCCCAAGGACCTAGTTGGTGTCCTATCTTTCTAGTCTGTGGCCCCAAGGACCTAATTGGTGTCCCATCTGTCTAGTCTGTGGCCCCAAGGACCTAGTTGGTGTCCCTTCTGTCTAGGCTGTGGCCCCAATGACCTAGTTGGTGTCCCATCTGTCTAGTCTGTGGCCCCAAGGACCTAGTTGAAGTCCAATCTGTCTAGTCTGGGGCCCAAAGGACCTAGTTGATGTCCAATCTGTCTAGTCTGTGGCCCCAAGGCCCTGGTTGGTGTCCTTTCTGTCTAGTCTGTGGCCCCGAGGACCAATGTTCTTGTTATCAATAGTAAAATGATCCAATTATATTCTGTAATATATCCATTCCTGGCCAATATTACAATAGATTATAGGAATATATATCTATATATATAAAATCACTCCCACTCCCCCCCCCCCACCTCTTTCCTCTCATCATTAAAGAAACACAGGCGGATAAATATATTACTTAATTGATTTCGCTACCTAGGAAAGTTATGCATTACATTTCAAGACCGGATCGACTTTGAAGTGTCGCAATGCTTTAGTCTTTAGTTTGACCAGGACCTTACTAACTCATGCATACATTTTTCTAGCTCTAGACATTTAGATTTTAGAGCTATTACGAACATTTTTTCTAGTTTAAGAAAAAATTCTGGTAAAAATAGTTTCTATCAGGATTACAGAATAAAAAAGTAAACGACAACATCTTGCGAAATCTATTTAAAAACATCGAATATATATTTCAACAGATGTTTTGATTTTTTTTTCGTTTGTTAGAATGATTTTTCTTTAAAAAGCAATCAAATATTGCTAAAAATGCGACAAAACTTTATGAAAAAGTATAAAAATGGAATTTGAACCAGACAAAAAGACTGAATTTTCTAAACTGCTGAATCTGACAATAACGAATTTGATTCCTGAGTTTTAAACTGAAGTGAAAGATTTATTGAATTTGTTGTAGAGGATGGGGGGGGGGGGGGTTGGGGGGGAATGTTAGGGGGGTTGAAACCATAAAGAGAAAGAAAAAGAAGAATTAAATGCAAATCTTTACTCACAGTTAACAAAGATCAGACAAGAGAAAGTAGTTATGTAAATACCTTACTCTCAATTAAAAAAATTCCTATTCCTCTTAAACCCAACAAAAAATTCACGAACTTTGAAAATTTAATCTTTTGAGAAATTAATCTTTTTAAAGCAGTTTTATGTAGATATATAATTTAATCAAGGATGATTCTAAAAACAATTGTCGAGTTACATGTAATTTCAAGATAATATACTATTTAAACCTGTCAAAAGTTTGAAAGTTTACCCTCGGTGATAACTTAATGAGGTTCGGTTTATCAAGAATAATCTGTATCTAGACTAAAGTTTTAATTGAGCCGTTAAGGCGAGATTTACTTGGGTTTATGTTTTTCAAACTGAATTCGGAAATTTTGAGTGGTGTGAGAGTTAATATTGAACGCTTAAACTCGAAGTTTCCTTAATTTAAGTTGTCTCCTGCAGGGTATGATCACCACAGGATATGGAAGAGGAATAAGATTAATCCTTAGATCTGCATAAGATGGAGACCATTGCTTGATCCCAAGATTCCACAACAAATATAAAAACTACATTTCAGCAACTTTCTATGGTAGTCTATGTTCTTAATCCACAAATATCTAAGTTCAGAACATTTTTCCAGTCAGGNTTGCATGGTTTGAAATATTGTAAAATTAAATTGATGTTTAATTTCCGGCCAAAATAAAATCATGTTCAAACTCAGACTGCATAAAACATAATTTATTTTATAAAAACAGAATAGTTTTGTATAAGACCACGTTGGATAGAGTTCAAAAGTTCAGAGAACCCTAGGTCATTTCCAGTATAAAGTGGAATAAAAGCCTTCATCCTCCAAGCTGTCTGGACTCTGGCTTTTGGAGCAATACTTTTGTAAAACCCAAAAATCTATATATTCATATATATAGTAGGTTCATGCCTCTTTGAACAACTTAATACAAGATATTAAGCAGACTTTTTTCTAACATGTATATAAAACCTGCCATTCACACAATCAGATTCTGTTATCAATGAATAGCAGATACATTCCAAAAATTAAACAATCTTTTTTTTTGCAACATGTATCTACATTGTACAAAGTTATTAGTAAGTTATTTGCAGAATATGATAAATAAAACGTGCATACATCACTAGAATGACCAGAAGAAGTTGTATTATTACCCTTTAATGCCAAAATATTTGAGTGTATTGGCTGGAGTGTTGAACTGGAGTAAAAGCAATATATCTTGTAGGGCCTGGTCCAAGGGATCTATCCTGGGTCTCTGCAAATCTTACAAATCAATCAATACAGTCCAACAAATTCTCTTTTTCATATTTGAGATCAGGTTTGGGAGCCAGGTCTTATCCGGACAGAGGCAGGTTCACCAAATAAAAATATCGTCAAGGATTAGAAATTGAGTGCTCAAAAGATACGATAGATGGGGGGGGGGGATTGCTGAATTTTGTAATGGGATGATCATTGGTCAGTATTACTTTCATCAGGGAGATGGGATCGGAGAAATCGTTTCTGAGTAGATGGGCTCGTTCGCGTGTAAACGCTTGAGGAAGGCTCTGTGGAGGAAAAAACAAGATTTATGATCGATAGGGAAAAGGGCCAACATACTTGACATAAGTTTAGATGGTTTCATGTCGCCAAACTAGGGCAGGTTGGATATAGCATCATACCTCTGGAAATCATCAAGGGCGAACAGGTTGAAGGATGAAACACAGTAGTAGAACTTCGTAGAACTCGCAATCACTTCCTTGAGAGCAAACTGGGTTTGGGTTTGGATGAACCAGGCTTTCGCTAAATCAGGCCAAAACGCAGGCACTTTAACGAACACCATGTTCAACAAATCCAAAAAATATCACTTCTAGGCATTATCACTGAGCGTGTAGCTTTAAAAGTCTTTAGCGGAAAACAGCCCTTCTTGAGCTATAGATAGCTAAACTCGGGGTCACCAATTTGGCCACGCCCAATAATCACAAAGATAATGACTAAAGTTTATTAAACTAATTTTAAAAACTATATCTTATATTTTAAACAACGAGAAAAATATCTGAGTTGGAATCTCGCCGCTACGTCCAGTTCTGTTTAAGATCACTGCAGATCGTCTTCCGCCACATTTGCATCATTTGTGGAAAAAGAAATTATCTTAAACCACTTAAGGATATCCTCAACTCTAGAAAAATCCTCAAACTCTTTGGTTCTAGTCCAAAATCATTAAGGTCCACAATTATCAGATTTCAACCTAAAATTATCATAATTCGGTTTACAACTCTGTATCGGCCTATTCCAATTTTCTCCTGTTTCGGTCCATAACTCTTCATGCCTCCTAGTCCACAATTCATAACATAAATCCCATCCATCAAATCAAATCATAAAATTTTCTGCAGTAAACATTTTAACAAATTAAAAAAAAATAAAAAGATAAAAATAAAGATATAATTTAGATTACTGCAGAGTGGCCTATATAGCCCAAATCTGTTTTCACAAAGCTCCACTGGAATTATATTCTTAATTTTAAAACGAATTAAAGACATAACTTCAATTGCTGTACCCATATTCGAAGTTTAGTATTGGGAGGGAAATAGACCAAAGAACCTGGAAATCACTTCTATTTTTTTTTTTATAAAGTTTTAATTCTGTTTTAAAATTAAATTACTAATTGTTTGTTTTTTGTATAAAAATAAAGTAAAACTATAGGTTTTTTCAATTTTGCGGAGAAAATTCTAAAACTAACTTACACTGTAAATAAAGATTAGACTAAAAAACTTTTTAACTTTTCTTTTAATCTGAATAAATTATTTCAGCGAACCAAGAGACAGGATACGCTGGAAACTGCGGGAATGCTGCCGTTGCAATCTCCTTCCTGCTGACCTACCTTGTCATATCCTTCCTCATCGTCATCAACATGTACATTGCGGTCATCCTGGAAAACTACAGTCAGGCAACAGAGGATGTTACGGTAAAATACACTGTTAAAAATATTTTTATTACCGAAATAATTAAGAAAAACGAACATTTTAGTCGAATTTTGCAAACACTTTTTGTTTATTTAAAGTAAAAGAAATTGAGTCTTTGCCACAAACTCTGATTTTCTAATCCATATATCTGAGCAACCCAATGTCGTAAACCTTAGATATTTCAAACTTTGAATTTTGTTAGATCAAATCATCCAGGTTTGAAATGTGAAAGGTTTACATCATCAGGTTGCAAATAAATTCTGTTATAAAATTCTAGTTTAAAATTTTCGTAATTCTGGATATTTAAATTTTTTGGGGGGGGTTGGTTGGTTATTGTTATGCAATATGTCCCACTAAACATGACAATTGTATTAATAATAATAATTATTATTATTCAATTCAATTTTTACGAACAGTTTATGTATAAGATATGCCTAAGTACTTGTTGTGTTTTGTAGTACACAATACGCATTGTGGTGTCAATCCAAAAAGGATGTAAAATTAACGTTTCTAGTTAAAAAAAATTAGTCATTTTCGAATATTTTTCAGATTTTTTTCAAATTTTCATTTGAAACTTTTTTTGTAGAAAATAAATGAAAAAAGACAAAATTGACATGAATATTGTATAATACAAGGGACATTAGTTCCAAAACTAAGACTAGGCCCATTTCTAACACTGAGTGTTAGAAATGGGCATAAATTGAAAGACTGGGTTTTTAGGATCCCAGCCCATATCGAGAGTAAAAGTCGATAATAAAATCTATAGTTGATTTAATTTCCTGCATTTTAAATAAACAATTTTCCGGATTTCTAGTTAAATCAACAAAATAATATTTAAATTTTTATTTCCCGATGCTTTAATGATTTTTAAATTATAAAAGATCTGTATTTTTTGTTCTATATTTTGATTATATTTTACCCTTTCAAAAAATCTTGTTTTGTTACGCAAGTGCGAAAATGCATGAAATTTGACATTGATATGTATTCGAGTAATTCCCATAAAACCAGAATATGTTCCGAAAACGCGACATATTACGGATATATTCGAAATGAAAACCAATGTCATTAAAAAGTAATTCTCACACCTTATTATTAGTTTAAAGTTGACATTTCTTGTTTCAATAACTAGTTTTAGCCATTAATATTAAATGCATTGAATAGTTTTGTTCAACTCGTCTTGAATTTAAAGATATATACGCTTGAAAAAGATAACTTTGCAGAGTTTGCCCATTTCTAACACTCAAGTGTTAGAAATGGGCCAAGCGTTAATTTTGTAACTGATTTCCCCTGTAATAGGAATAATCCGTTGTGAGTTACTATCACCGCTTTAACGACATTTTATCCTTTTTTTCTAATCATATAATCTTCAATTAATTAGTATATTTGGAGCTCTAATTTAGTTCTATATTTGTATTTTCTGAACTGAGAGTGTGTAAAATGAGTTTTCAACCAGATTGAATTAAATGATTAACTAAGTGGATGGCAAAAGGGGGAACTTAATTTAGGGGTGGAGCCTATTAAAAAAAGTATCTTTTCCCTTTTCATTTTCAGTACAAAATATATCGTCTTTTTGAGACTAATGCAAAATCTGTCAAAAATATTTGAGTTTGGCTTTTCTGAAGTTATTAAAATGATATTGAAAACCTTGCCTCAAACTCCAATTCTAACATCCCTATATCTTTGCAATCTAAAGGTGTTTAAATTCAGGATTTTGATCATTTATTTTACATCAATGCAACTTTCCATAAAGTTGAGATTAGATTAGACATTTCAAGTATGGGAAGAGTAATCAATTCATGTAGAGACTTATTTTCTCATGTTTACTTGTTTATCTGTTACAGGAAGGATTGACTGGAGATGATTATGATATGTACTATGAGATCTGGCAACAGTTTGATCCCGAGGGTAGTCAATATATCAGATATTCTCAACTATCAGACTTCCTGGATGTTTTAGAACCTCCTCTGCAGATCCATAAACCAAACAAGTTTAAGATTATATCCATGGATATTCCAATATGTCGGGGGGATCTATGTTTCTGTGTAGATGTCCTTGATGCGCTCACAAAAGATTTCTTTGCCCGGAAAGGAAATCCTGTTGAGGAGACAGCAGAGCTCGGTGAAGTGACTGCTCAGACAGACAGACCGGGATACGAACCTATCTCCAGTACACTCTGGAGACAGAGGGAGGAATACTGCGCCAGAATGATTCAATCCGTGTGGAGAAAACAGTTTAAATTTACCGCGAATTTGATTCCGTCGAGGAATTATAATTACGGGTTGAACGGAAACTCAAAAGTGATTATTGAAGTGACGGAACGTTTAGAACGGAATATGTCCCGAGGAACGGAAACTTCGGAGCGGAAAGTTTCCGCTGAACCAATGATTCCGACAGATTTAAAACGTGATAAAGATGGGAGTGAAAAAAACGATATTGAAACAATTGTGACCGTTGAGTCTGAAAGATAGCTGAAGTATTAATTCCGAAAAAAAACCTCATAGTCCGGTGACATATCAATCCTTAGAAAATAATTGTACTCAAAAACCTACTTTCACCGCGCATTTACAGTAGACAGATAAACCTATCTATATATCCTATCTATAGAATTAGTGTTACAAAGACGATATATCCGAAACATTTTTGCCTTGTGATTTGAGAAGTAAAAATCCAGAAAATTAAGGAATAAATATGTCCTTCACCAAAACAATATATTTAACAGTAAAAAAAAGGATTTTACAGGTTTAAAAAATTTAACTAAAATGTTGAATTGATTTCAGATGTACATGTGATTGTGCATGCTGAAGTACATGTTGTACATATATGTACAACAACCAAAACTTTACAGTGTAGAGTGTAAAACTAACCTAACCATTAATGTACATAATATTCAATTTACATAATTCATGGCAATAATTGTTACAGCTGACCTGTGTCCAGCAAAATTTATCTTTAAGTTTGAGAATATTTTTATAAATTATATCTAAAATTTATCTGGTTGATAGTTATAGAGCAGATTTTATTGTGTAAATTATATCAAAATTATTGTTAGTCAAAAACATGAAATTTAGAAGTTAAATTTTTTTCTGAAAAATTGTTTTAACAAAAAAAAGTAGTTTTTCTGAGAGCTACGTACATAGCTGTACATTTGACCTTACATACAGCACATGCGTTATGTCAAAGTTCTGATAAGAAATTTTGTAAAATTTATAAGTAATTTGTGCACTCATGAATATGTGAAATAAGCTAGTTATATATTGGGTGAAGGTTAAACTTACTGTTAGAATTCTGAAACCTGGTCTCTCACACGATACAGCAAATATGTTAGAACATATATACAACATATTTGGTGAAAAATGTTGTATTGTCATTTACATTTAGAATAAAACATCTGATTATCAGTGTCCCAACTGAAACTTAATCTGTCGTTTTTATTTTAACTTTACAAACTTTATGCTATACAGTACAACTACTGAAATTTACCATGTACAGTTCAGTAATAATAATACCACAAAAAAACTCAATTTAAATTAACGATTTAATTTATTTTTGAAAATATTTAAAAACTAAATTAATCGGGATGAATATGTTTGGAACTATAACATTGTATTGTTATTGTTAGAAATTCAAATGTCAACACAAAGTTTTTGTGTGTTAGACAAGTTTCAGAATTCTAAGATACAGGGTTACCCAAAAAAGATGAGACTTCAGAGACGACTGTACTGAATTCATATTGCCTGTTTCCTTACATTCAAGAATCAAGATTCCCTGTTTCTTTCTTTGCCAAATAATTGAATAAGCCATGAAAAGACTATATATTGAATTAGAAGAAGTCTTAATTATCAAATCAATGATGTTTCAAGTCGTCTTTACAGTCTCATTCCATGTTGGTAATTCTTGTTTTTTAAGCGTGTATCCGTGTAACATTGGAATATGAGTAAACTTTATTGCGTACACTTATTTTCCAATATACACAATCATACCTTGAATTTTCATTTTGTTCCTTCCCTTTTAAATTCAAAGGAATTGAATCTATGCCACAAAATCTAATTTTATCTTTGTAAACTCAATGTCTTAGATTATGTTAGATCATTTAATCTAAGTTTAAAATATCAAAGGTTTATACCGTCAGCTTACAAAGATAAAGGGATAAAAATCTGAGTTTGCGGCAAAGACTCGATTCCTTTGTTGCACAAAAGGGAATGATGAAGAAATGTTTTTATTTATCATGAAAGTATTCATTGACAGTGTTGAATACTTACCTCGTGTTCGAGTTATGCTATCACACTTTATAACAAGATGTAACGTGATATCCCTCATTTATCAAAGACAAACTAACAAGCATACATCTAATTTAAAAAAAATCAAAAATAACCCCCCACCCCACCCCCGCCTACTTTTTCCTGACTCTTCAATCTAACATATTCGTCCCTTTATGTTCATGATTTTATACCAACATTATTTGGCAAAAATAGAAAATAAATTTAATCAAGAAGACTTTTATAAGAAAAATTTTTAAAATTGACACAATTTATTTTATAGTTTACATATGTATATGTACATAGTCCCCCCATAATAATGGTATTTTGTAAAGATCCTAACATGAAATATACTGGAAACATGGTGATTATTAATATTTTATTGATCAACAGGAGAAAATAAACAAGCAGAGATTACTACTTTACATATTTAAATTTAAATCGTTGATTTCAAGAATTGAACCAGCGGTAGCTGGTTCACCGACCTAACTCAAATTTATTAAATTCGTTCACTGTTTCTATCTTTGGTTTATTATCAAAAATTCTTACCTTGGTACACTGAACTCTGTAGATTCCTGTTTTTAATGTTATTTGTAAAAAAAACTAGAATTTATGTTTTTAAAAGTGTTTCTCAGTTTCTATACAAATAATCAACTCCATTTTCTTAACAGAAAATTTTGAACTCAGGGGTTGAAAACTCTTCATGGACAAGATTCGAAATCTGGAACTTGCATTGGCTGATTTTGAAGGAAATTAAAAGACTGAAGAATCGAGTTAAGTGTATCCCCTAAAGGGGGGGGGGGCAGATATTGATAAGCGCTTTAGGAATGGATCAGATCACTCTGAAATGTTAACGCTACTCTTAGACTCAAGTTATTTAGTGAGTTACTAGTAAAAAATTCTTTGTAACTACATCATATACGCTTAATTCTTTCTATAATGTCGTCTTCCTATTCTACAGTTTTCTGGTTCTCACTGAATACGCAAGTTCCAGTCTAATGTAGAGTACTTGTTTTTTTGCCGTTGTAACATGTATTGTTCTATCTATTTCCAATATATCATTTCTGCACTCAATTCTTAAGTATATATTTTTTGTCTATTAATTATAGTAAATACAAGGTGTTTTCGACCAAAACCAGAGAAATAGCACTTCACACTTGCTTTTGAACGCACTGAGGATTGGATTAAATGGCCAGAGCAGGAAACTCTTTTATTGGATACCTTCATCCCGTTGCTTAAAATCGATATCCACTGTGGACACTTTTGATTTTCTGTTAAATCCTCTCTTTTGGATAAACCTGCTGGGTTCTGAACAATAAGAGCTATATCTCCTTGATTGCGTACCAAAACATTATAGTTTCTTGACTTCTGATTGGCTGTTCGGTTTCTACAATCAAAACTCTGAATGGTTTCAGTTTAGTTTTCAATTTCCGGGATTAAAAAATTTAAATAAGTTGGAAGAATAGTAAAAAGAGGAGATGATGCATTTATCTCGATATCAACAATTCTTAAGTTTTCAGCTCTGATCAGTTGCTTCCCTGTACAGTATTTTGAAGATGTATAATGTACAATGTACATTGTTCATGGAAGGGAAAGATTGATCACTGTACGGTTCATTAAATCAATGAATGAAGGATAGCGAGCGCAAAATAAACGTACCGTAAAAAATTGATGCTGACTATAGATCAATATTTGTATTATGTATTCATTTTCCTGTTCCTGGTTTTTATACAATTTTTTCCCTAGATGCATTTATTGTAGCAAAACAATAAGCCTCCATGAAAAGAAGGTTGGGTACTGTGAACTTAGATATGCACAGCACGGTAAGTTAGAGGTCCTGGTTTAAAGTCAGTGTGTCGTAATATTGGAACCCATTTTACCAGTAAAATCCAGATTTTTTTGTACTTGTTAAAATTCAGTTTTTAATGGACCAATATTTAAATTTTAATGTCCTTAATGTCTTTGGTAAAATCAACAAAAAAGTTTTAATTTATTTTTTTATTTATTCTAAAGTATACTTTTTTCAAACCAAATTTAGTCAAAAAAGGTAACAAACAAACATGCAAATTTTAGGCGCAAAAGAAAATAGTGCAAAATGTAAAGCATTAGAAATATAACTTTGAGTATACTTTTCAGTTCAATCTTATCAAAATTTCTTTGTCGTTTGAAATACTAAACTTAAATATAATGATCATACTATTAAAACGCTACACACATGTTTACATATTCTATTATGAACTTATAAACATGCAAATATAAAACTGATAAGAGTAGCGTTCTTTTCTTTACAGCGTTGTATCTGGTGGCGTTTTATGAGTGTAGCGTTTTTCTAGGTACACCCATATAATGAAGATATTGTATACATTATGCAAAAGTATTAATGCAAAGAATAGATGATAAAATCTGGTTGAAAAAATGATATTTCAGGTAACTTATTGAAATACCGAATAAATGAAAGTATGAAAGATAGAGAGGATGGATGTATAAATAAATGAATATATATATATATACACTAAGTGAAGATGAGGTGACTTGTATTGTATTGTATTGTTCAGGCAACTTGACGAGAATATATATACATATACATATATTATACTGGATATAAAATCCTGGATTTATAATACTGGATATAAAATCCTAGATATATGATACTGGATATATAATACTAGATATGTAATACTGGATATATATGATACTGGATATATAATAATGGATATATAATACTGGATATATAATACTGGATATATAATACTGGATATATATGATACTGGATATATAATAATGGATATATAATACTGGATATATAATACTGGATATATATAATACTGGATATATAATTATGGATATATAATACTGGATATAGAATACTGGATATATATGATACTAGATATATATTGTACTGTAATATAGAAGGGATATTGGATATATAATACTGGTATTTATACAATGATAACCAGACAGCTGTAGAATACGAAGACGACATTAAAGTAATACTAAAATCTAGTTTATGGCTGGTTTAAATTTTTAAAATTGCTAACAAATATAAACATAACAATTAACGAAAAAGGATGTACATAAAACAATACAAATATTTTTTTTCCATTTTTTTCAATTTAATAATATTTGTTCAGGCCTGATATATAGTTCAAACAATTTAATAAACTGTAGTGACTTGTACCTTGAGTTAATAAAGTTCAGATTCAACTATAATTACAGTATATGAACCTGACCCAGAGTAAACTCAGAGAGGAGAGAAAACTTCTCAGTCCGGGATAAAAGTTGAGCCCGGAGAAACTTTTAATGTTCGAAGAGCGGGGATTATCAATGTTCATGATCCTAGGATGATTTACTATTAAACATTTTCTAGTCGGCCCAGGACACACCAGCTTACTTCCGGGGTACCAGTTTACTCTAGAGTTAGCAGCCCACTTCGGGACTGTGGCTTACTTTCGAGGTAGCAGCTTACTTCAGGGGATAGCAACTTACTGCCGAGGTAGCAACATAGAGCTAGCTTCTTCCTGAGGTAGCATAGCTTCTGCCTTTCGCTGTAGTAACTCGTTTCTAGCTTACTTCCGGAATTTGAGAGTACCAGAGAGCTTAGCAACCAAAGATTAATCCAATGAAGAATGAAGAATGAAGAATGAAGAATGAAGAATGAAAAATGAAGAATGAAGAATGAAACCGAAGAACGGATAATGAAAACATGTATAGAAAGCTTTTTGAATTAAGAATTAAGGAAGAAAAAAATTAAGAATATAGAAAGTTTTATGTATTAAGAAGGAAGAGAAGAATGAAGAATTTGGAGAGCTTTATGAATTAAGAAGGAAGAGAAGAATGATCTGATATTAGAATACTGAAGAGAATAGTTTAAAACTAATTTGAGATTGTATTTCCAGCTGAATATATCCAAACCTTAATAGGATTAGTCTCATTCATTTTTCTTCCCCCCCCCCCTCCTACTCTACCCCTAGTCATCATGCTCTTTACTTCCTAGTTCTTCATCCTCTTTAATCCTCTTCTCTTCATCCTCTTTACTTCACTACTCTTCATACTCTTTACTGCCCTACTCATCCTCTTTACTCCCCTACTCTTCATCCTTTTTACTTCCCTACTCTTCATCCTCATTATTCAATTACTCTTCATCCTCTTTAATCCTCTACTCTTCATCCTCTTTCATCCTATTCTCTTCATCCTCTTTACTTCACTACTTTTTTTCATCCCCTTTACTCCTCTACTCTTCATCCTCTTTACTTCTCTACTCTTCATCCTGTTTACTCCCCTATTCTTCATCCTCTTTACTCCCCTACTCCCTCCATCCCACCCCTCCCTCCCTCCCATGTTCTCACTCTCTATTTATTTATCGGCCCTGTCAGCCTACTGAGAGTATAGTGTATAGGAGATTAATCAAAACACAAAATATCGACTGTCAATAAAATACTAAATAAAGATTATGATCCTCGCTCATCCATGAGCTCAAATCTTGAAAGATAGATTTCTCATTCCTTGATTCCCAACCTACAAACCTACTTACCTACATAACCAGGGCATTTTGTACTCATTTGGAGAAAAAAGAATATTTTTGAGTGCAGTGCATGAATTTGTTCGCAGATTTTTTTAATTCTTCACATGTCGTCTTTCAATATAAAAACATGCATCGTAATAACGTCTCAAATGAATCCTAAAAATCTCTAATACTGCACTTCAGCTCAACTACCATGTCTAGCCAGACACCTCCTTTAAATGAAATAATTAAGTTTAACGTTTACATGAGACAGAGCTGATATCTCAGTAGAAGAATTGATATCCCGCGAGCAATTTACAAAAGAAAAATTGATATCCAGAAGTTATGATCAAAATCTTAGAGTACAAATCAAGAGATAAAAAGTTTTGTATCTTAAATCTGAGTCAGTCCTCAGACTGATTCTTGCCACCCCAACGCATTTGGAACTTAATCCTTCAATTTAAAAGTTTGTACTAAGCGCTATTCCAATTAAAAAATGTTTACTTTCAGTCTAGAGCAAGGTTGTATTTAAGGTTAGATACTCTGGATGCGCTCCAGTATAGGTAAATAAGTCTTATTGCAATAGAGATTCTAAATCATCATATGACGTCAATGATACTCAACTAACAATCATCACATTTAAAAAATATTGATTGTGTTTACAAGTTTGAAGCTAGAAATTCAATTCTAATTCTAGATTTCAATTTTTGAGTTCGTTTGTATTTAGTGAGGCGCAAAATTTAATATTTTTTTAAAATAAGCAGTGACTTCATATGAGGTTTACAATGTCCATTGCTATTGGATTGTGTCCAAAGTAACTAACCTTATTATACAACCTTGGGCTAGAGTAAGGATTGATATCCCAGATTTAGCAGGTTTTCTTCTTAACCTTGAGCTAAGCCAAGTCCTACTCTTAATCTAGGGATTGGTCAGTTCTTATGTTTTCATAATCGGGGTAGAATCAAGATCTATCAATTAATTAATAAAGAAAAAATTATTTTTTAGTAATTTTTTCTTTATTAATTACTGAAAAATAATTATTGATTTAAAAAAGAAATTATTAAAATAAGAATAAACAATCAATACATCTAATGACCAAATGAATCAATGAATTAATCAATTGATTAATTAATTAATGAAGAAATTAATGAAGTAATTATTGATGAATTAATTAATCAATTTGAAAAAAAGAAATTGTTAAATGATGAATAATGAATAAATTGAATTAGATATGAATTACACAATGAAAGGATCAATGCATAGATAAAAAGATAAAAAAAAATGATCAAATAATCTTTTTAATATTTGAATTAATTAATGTAATTAATAAAAATAAATACATAAAGAAATGAAAAATAAGGTATAAATTAATTTAAGATAATTATGTGGAAGACGATGCCTGGCCGAGTTAAACAAGTTCCACAAGATTCAACAGAATGAGATAGAACGGATACGGGGCATAGGACTGATAAAACATCTACACGTGTGATATCGATATTGACTCTAGTTCTGAACCCTCTAGTAATAAGTTATAAGAAATATATATACTGGAAGTTATTTATGCGTTTTTATTAGAGTCTGACTCACGTCCTCTATAATTAAAAAGAAAATTAAAATTATTATCTCCCCCCCCCCACAAAAAAAGAAAAATCATTTATTTATTTCGCATTATTGGTTTATATTTGTTTTTGATTACCCTTTTTGGAAAGAATAAATAAAACTCTCTCTCCTTTTTATTGATTGATATTTATATTTTATATTTATACATATTTGCGCAACTTTTAGACGTATGATTTATAATTTTGATTTATCACGCAATCCTAGAAAGATTCCTAGAAGATATATCTATACATATATTTAGCCGGCTTGTCTGTCTGTTTATTATTTTCCAATAAATGTCAACACAGTAGAACAAAATCTTAGATATGATAAAAATGTAGATTTTTGAGCGTTTTCGAAATCCATCAATTCAAAGAAATCCGCGAAATTATTTTAATACAGGATTAAAATTATGTAAAACTAGTGAAAAAAGAAAACTTTGCATCCCTAACATTGAGTGCACACTGCACAATAAAGTGAACAGAGCATACATACAATTGTAGTTATGTAAGGTCTGTAGACTCAATATCAACTGATCTTCCATTTTAAGAGTGTTATGTACGATTCACAAAAGTACTCTTCAAACCTTTATCGGAGGAAAAAGGAGGAAGATACCGTCGTTCTTCTTTCTCAATACAAATTCCAGCAGTGTAACTTCATGATAAAACTACAAGTTACTAATACAAAGAAGCCATAACTGAATTTAAGGCAAAAAAAGTAGATATCATAGTCTGTACACGCCAAACCAAGTTGTACGCACTCATGAGAATGCCATAAAGCACGCATAAAGGTCTAACACACGTGCCTTTGAACATTTAAGAATTATTTATTGAGTCCTACATACAAAAATTGATACTACAATTCTGTAAAATAATTATATAATTGATATAATTTATCAGTATGTAAAATGTATATAGTATGTAGTCACGAAAATTTGAACGAAAGGTTTGACACCGTTTATCTGAATTAATTTTACCCATTCATTGCTTTTTATATTCGTTTTCTTTAGTTAATACTATTCAAGTTTTTATTTAAGAGTAGATTTTAAAAATGTTTATTATTACAAATTTTATTAAGAACCAAAAGCTATCTAATGAATGAATTTGATTAATCTGTTTCCTTCCCCGTTGGGAGATTAACTAATCTTGATAATATCAACCTCTGAAGTAAAACTGCTAATTGTTTCTGTTTGAATTGAATTTAAAAAGTGTCAGTTTACATGTATTTTTTTGCAGGAAAATTAACAATTTCAGGGTTAGTTAAATAAAGTTTATTTAAAGTTTTTCCTGTATAATTGTAAACACTGCGAGAAATCTCTCAATTTTCTGGTAAAAATATTTCTTGGTTGATCTGATCTAAAGAAAAGTTAGTTTAACTTTGGACAAAGATTGAACTTTCTCTTAACATTCTTAACATCTTAAATTATTCCTCCAGGATTGGATGAATCAAGTCTAGCTTTTATAATCTATAATTAATTGATCATCTGAATTGGGATTTAATTTTTTAAATGACTTAATCATGAACAAAATTATTCACCAAAATTATTATCAAACTTTATAGTTGGTCCATAAACCTGTATATCATGTGTGCATCAACCTGTATATCATGGGCATCAACCTGTATATCTTGTCCATTAACCTGTATATCTGGTGCATTAACCTGTATATCTGGTCCATCAACCTGTATATCTGGTCCATTAAACATGCATATCTGGTCCATCAACCTGTATATCTGATCCATCAACCTGTATATCTGGTCCATCAACCTGTATATCATGTGCATCAACCTGTATATCATGTGCATCAATCTGTATATCTGGTCCATCAACCAGTATATCTGGTCCATTACCCTGTATATCTGGTCCATCAACCTATATATCTGGTCCATGAACCTGTATATCTGGTCCATTAATCTGTATATCTGGTCCATCAACCTGTATATCTGGTCCATCAACCTGTATATCTGGTCCATTAACATGCATATCTGGTCCATCAACCTGTATATCTGGTCCATCAACCTGTATATCTGGTCCATCAACCTGTATATCTGGTCCATTAACCTGTATATCTGGTCCATTAACCTGTATATCTGGTGCATCAACCTGTATATCTGGTCCATCAACCTGTATATCATGTGCATCAATCTGTATATCTGGTCCATCCACCTGTATATCTGGTCCATCAACCAGTATATCTGGTCCATTAACCTGTATATCTGGTCCATCAACCTGTATATCTGGTCCATTAACCTGTATATCTGGTCCTTTAATCTGTATATCTGGTCCATCAACCTGTATATCTGGTCCATCAACCTGTATATCTGGTGCTTTAACCTGTATATCTGGTCCATCAACCTGTATATCTGGTGCATCAACTGTATATCTGGTCCATCAACCTGTATATCTGGTCCATCAACCTGTATATCTGGACCATTACCCTGTATATCTGGTGCATCAACCAGTATATCTGGTGCATCAACCAGTATATCTGGTCCATCAACCTGTATATCTGGTGCTTTAACCTGTATATCTGGTCCATCAACCTGTATATCTGGTGCATCAACCAGTATATCTGGTGCATCAACCTGTATATCTGGTCAATTAACCTGTATATCTGGTCCATCAAACTGTATATCTGATCCATGAATCAGTATAACTGGTCCATCAACCTTCATGTAAGGTCAATCAATTTTCAATATAAAATCTGGGATATGAAGAGAATTTTCTTTATTATTTCCCTTTACATTTATTACTTGATCTTTTATTGATCAGCAACATTGATTTACTACAGTCTCTAAATATCTTTCCGTTCATTCATCCTTTCCTCTCTAGTTTCCCCTCCCTCCCTTCCATCTTCTTTCTTAGTCAGGAGAGAGAAGAAGGGATGAGAAGGGATGAGAAGTGATGAGCAGAAATGTATAAAAACAGAAAGATAGTATAGAAGGAAGAGGAAGGAAAAGTTCGATGTATAGATATATATTCTTTCATAAAAAAAAGCAGTTGAAGTGCTATATGTATATTGTATACATATTGCATAACTTTAAAAATCAGGTAATGAAAAGAAAGGGTGCTATGTATGCATGCATGAAAAGTGTCCTCATATTCCATATTTATTGGAAACAGATATATTGACTTCTTTATCACATAGTTAGATATTAGATAGATATATAGACTTCTTTATCACATAGTTAGATGCTAGATAGATATATAGACTTCTTTATCACATAGTTAGATGCTAGATAGAAAGATAGATCTCCTTCATTATCCCATAATTAGATAATAGATAGAAAGATAGATGAGCTTCATTATCCCATAATTAGATAATAGATAGAAAGATAGATGAGCTTCATTATCCCATAATTATATACTAGACAGAAAGAAAATGAGCTTCATTATTGGACGATTTTTAAGAACCACGGGCAACGCCAGATACTGGTAGTAAATATTGATTCTGATAATAAGCTAGTATGGATGTGATTTGGGAATACAAAGATAGATTGTATATATTTCAGTTCTACACTTGGCAGGTACTCTAATAAAAAAGTAATAAAACAAGGCGACTAGTCCACACTGCCAGAATATGGGATATAATTAGGCATTGGATATACAAGATACATACGATACAGAGGATTGGATACATAATATACATGGGATACATTGGAAATACAAGATACATACGATACAGAGGATTGGATACATAATATACATGGGATACATTGTATATACAAGATACATACAATACAGAGGTTTGGATACATAGGATACTTGGGACACATTGAATATACACAATACATACGATACAGAGGGTAGGATGCATAGGATACATGGGATACATTGTTTATACAAGATACTTACCATACAGAGGGTAGGATACATAGGATACATGGGATACATTGGATATATATACAAGATACATACTACACAGAGGGTAGGATACATAATATACATGGGATACATTGGATATACAAGATACATACTATACGGTGGGTAGGATACATAATATACATGGGATACATTGTATATACAAGATACCTACTATACAGAGGGTAAGATACATAATATACATGGGATACATTGGATATATATTCAAGATACACACTATACAGAGGGTAGGATACAAAACATATATGGGATACATAGGATATACAAGATACATACTATACAGAGGGTAGGATACATAATATACATTGGATACATTGTATATACAAGATACATACTATACAGAGGGTAGGATACATAATATACATGGGATACATTGTATATACAAGATACATACTATACAGAGGGTAGGATACATAATATACATGGGATACATTGTATATACAAGATACATACTATACAGAGGGTAGGATACATAATATACATGGGATACATTGTATATACAAGATACATACTATACAGTGGGTAGGATACATAATATACATGGGATACTTTGTATATACAAGATACATATTATACAGAGGGTAGGATACATAATATACATGGGATACATTGTATATACAAGATACATACTACACAGAGGGTAGGATACATAATATACATGGGATACATTGGATATATATTCAAGATGCATACTATACAGAGGGTAGGATACATAATATACATGGGATACATTGTATATACAAGATATATACTATACAGAGGGTAGGATACATAATATACATGGGATACATAGGATATACAAGATACATACTATACAGAGGGTAGGATACAAATAGCAAGAATACATAACCTATATCGGACACTTTGTACAAACAGTATGCAGGTACGTGTAATTTAAGAGTAACAACATTTTTTAGCAATCATAACTGCAACAATATCTTTTTTATACATACATACATCCGTGCAATGATATTTTTAATTTTGGAATTGAATAAAATATTTTGTTTATCAAAATGATTTCAAAATATGTTGTCAGTTTCTAACACTTCTAACTGTTGAACGTGTGGTAACCCTAGAGGTCAGTCCAAAGTCTACGTCAAGTCAGAGTTCGACATTCAAATATACAGTACGGGCTCGGAAGGTTCTGACTGAATTAGGTGAATCAGGATGGATACAGCTATAAGCTACTTCTACCTGACCTGTATGATGTACCTAGGTATCACATTTTCCTGGTGAGAAAATCTAATCTGTAAAAGATATCGAACTCAAGCTATTTGAAAAAGAGTTTGAAAGTTTCACCGGGGGCAGGCGGCAGAGCAGAAACCTCGACCTAAACCGGTTTTCATTGAAAAGGAAAATCCCCCAAAAATGTATTTGATAAATCCTCGCTGTTGTATTCTGATATGTGAGAGGGTAGTGTGCGGGTATATGTAAGGCTGGCAGATAACAATGGGTAGTCAGGTTATACGTCTGCCAGATACCCCCCATACCATTCTCAGTACCGAGTTTTTTTGTATAAATAAATATATGTTTATATAAAAATAAGAAAGCTGAGAAAACTGTCAAAAAATACAAGTGAGCAACAAAGTAGATATTTTGATCAAGCATTAGCAAAGATTATAATATTAGATAGAGCATGCCAGTGAAATTTAACGATTTTTTTACTAAGGGATTTCTCCTGGATTGTATTGTTTATATGTTTTGGCTAACAGGGACGTACCAATTTCAGAACATAAATTATAAATATTATCATTATTAAGTATGTTTGTTCTAGGTTATGTTTGTTTAATGTTTTCACTTATATATATTCATCATTAATGTTAGAAATGTAAATATTAGATTAAAAGTTTAGGTTTTAAAAGTAATTGGAAAAACTATTATTGATTTTAACCTTTTCAGAACTGTCAAAAATCCGCTCTAAATATTTTTTTAAGTACAAAAATAATTGAATGAACTAAATAGCTTTTTTAAAAGACTGAAAACGTAACTTCGAGGGGACATTCTCACCCCGGACTATCTAGGCTAAGCTGAATTCGGGTTTCCGATTTGAATTCAATCACGTGCTTAGTCTATAATTCAACAATCTTTAAACTTACACCGTTGTTTTGTTATACTATTCGTTTAACTATCATCCTTTTTTAGAAAGGAAGAATTTAAGGAATTTGAGGTTTCAATTGGGTATCGTTGTGAATTAGGCATGTCCCAAGTGGAAGGTCACTTGAAATTGCGCATATAGTTCCTTTTAGTATGAAAGGTTGATATTTAAAGGGAGTGTTCGCGAAAAATGAAAGGGGGTATAGGCTTAATGCGATAAAAAAGCGCTTTTGATTGCTATTAATCTTACTGTTGCGTCTATAAGGATAAAATTGTTAAAGACGTCTCATACCGAAGAGCGTAGCGCCCATACAAATTGAGGAAGTTGGAACATACGACTTAGACCGTAAAAAAATCAAATTAATATCAAACAAATATACAGACATAAACATAAAGAGTTTTATCTACAAAATATGATCTCGTATTTTTGCATTGTTCTTGCACAGAATATGATCTTGTATTTTTGCATTGTTCTTGCACAGAATATGATCTTGTATTTTTGCATTGTTCTTGCACAGAATAAAACCCTGAAAACGGTTTCTAACCTGTACCTGGGTAAACATAAGGAAATATTATTCTTCGTAATTATCAGGTTTGTTTACTCACTGTTATGTTATTAGGTGTACTGCAGGCCACTAATAAGGTTTGTTTTGTTAACAAATCTCTATAGCAGGCGTTATCCGCAAAATATAATAATGTAAATAAATAAGAACAGACACTGAATAAACAAACTATAAAAATAAGATTTTATTTTTAGAAACTTATTTACAGTTTCAGAACATTAAACAACTTTTTTACTCACGTTGTTTGGGGATTTGATTACTCTAAAGGAATTGAGTCTTTGCCACAAACCAAAATTTTCTTATTTCTATTTTTTCAACCTGGTGTTTTAATGAACCTCTGATATTTTAAACATAGATTATCTGATCTAACAGAACTCATTGGGTTGCAAAGATATAGGATTAGAAAATTAGAGTTAGCGGCAATGACTCAATTCCTTTGTCCTATATGCCATGCCTTATTCCAGAAAACCTAGCCATGTCAATAGGCTGAGATATAGAGTTGACCATCACCAACCTTGAGATCGATTCATGTGTTTAAATTCATATAAAAGATGGATAGGTGAAACGTATAGCCTACTTTTACAAATTACAGGCTTGCCATTGTCCTTTAGCTTTATCTTGCCAGCTCACAATTACTTTTTTGGTTGCATAAACATTTTAAACATGCTACGAGTCTGTTTCTAGTTAAAGTTTAAAAGGAGGAAAATACTGCTCGATTTTTGTGTGAGAGCTTGCTCATCTTGCAGTTTGCAGTGATAAAGGAGTTTTAATTGAAAATACTTAAAGGGACTGTAATGGAAAAATGAAAGGGGGTATAGGCCGAAGCCTGGGAATCTCAGGCGTTGAACGATACATGTAAGAGTTCTAACTGATGTACCTGTCTCGAGAAATTGATATAAAACTGTGTCAAAATTACACCAAAACGGGTATATGACATTGTTAACAAATACTCAACCAATCTGAACACAACAGTATTCCAGAGGAGCCTGAGAAACTCTACTTTGCTCTTATTATTATTTGAATTAAATAATTTTTCATTTTTAATAGATGTAATTGATAATATTATTTATCCGTCCGGAACTCCATCCAATGGCAGTGCAGTATTATAGTCAAATGTCTCCGTCTGTATCGTATCA